TTCGCACGCGTTCGAGGCAGCAGACGAGGTCGACGAGTCTGCAGACGGCGGTGAGCTGTCCGGTGCGGAGGAGGATGGCGACTTCGACTCCGACGACTCCGAGGACGACGACGACGACGACGACGACATCTCCACGCTTGGCCAGCGGCACGCCGGCACGTCGTACAGCACGACGACGAAGCGGCGGCACAGCCGGCCGGGGCACGGCCGGCGCCGGCACCGCCGGCACCGCAAGCTGCCGCGGCACACGTCGCCGGCGTCGCCGAGCCGCGCCAACGGCTACCTCAGCATGCTGGGCTACTCGCAGTGGGTGCTCGACGTCGAGGCGGCCAATGCCGCGCACGAGGCGGCACGCCTGCGTGACGAGGAGGCGGCGGCGGCGGAGAACAGCATGCTCTCGCGCGCGCTGGCGTGGCTCAGCGGCGGTGCTGCGGCGTCCAAGGCGCCGCCGAAGGAGCAGAGCCTCGAGTTCTTCCTCGAGTATGCCACGTACGAGCCCGAGACGCTGTGGCGCGAGTTCCTGGCGCCGCCGCCGCCTTCGTCCGGCGAGGAGTCGCAGCGGGCAAGCGACTCACACGTGCCCGTGCCGCGCGCCATGCTCGAGCGCGAGCTGCGGCGCCTGCATGCCAAGGCGCCGGTGTACGCCGAGGCCTCAGCGCGGTGGGAAGAATCAGCGGCGGCGGCCTCGCTCGACGACGGCGCCGGCGCGGCGGACGACGCGTACTACTACGCCGAGCACGCCGTGCCCGGCCGCGCGCAGCTCGTCGACGTCGCCTCGAGCGCGACGCGCGCCCACGGGCGGCGCGTGCGCATGCAGCGGCGCCTCAAGCACCTCAGCGAGTACGCGCTGCCCGCCGCCACCGTGCCGCACATGCTGCACCTCGCGCGGCGCCTCGCCGTCAGCAAGGGCCTGTGGCGGCGCTACGCGGCGCGCATCTACGAGTCGTCGGGCTTCGACGATGAGGACTAGAGCGCGGGGAGAGAGAGGCAATTAGACGGAAAGAGGGCATTGTGGCCCGCAAGTCATAGGATTGGCCACTACTTGACAGCTGCAAGGATGCGGTCGAGGGTGCTCTCGGCCGGGCGCTTCTTCTTGCGTGCCGCGGCGCCCTCTGCTGTGCCCGCGCCGCGTTTCCGCGAAGTCGGCTCGGGCGCCGGAGGCGCAGCGTCGACAACAATGACGGCGGCCTGCTGCGCCGGCGGCAGCGGCGGCGCCTCGCCGAGGCGCGGCAGCAGCGGCGCCGGCGGCGCCTGCGTCGCCAGCCACTTCTTCCACTCGCCCACGGACTTGCGGAAGAGCGCAATGTTGATGCGCCGCAGGAACGGCCGGCCGCGCGGCGAGCCGAGCAGGAAGCGCTCGTGCGCCAGGAGGGCAGAGACATGGCGCTCCTGTTTACAATGCAAACGCAGGGGGTTCAGCGGGGTGGAGGCAAAGGTTGCGAGGTCAGAGCGCAGCAAGGGCCACGCAGAGAGAGAGAGAGAGAGAGAGGCGCGCGCACCTTTGTGAAGCCGTCGGAGCGCTCCCAGACCGAGTAGGCGACGCGCGGCGCCGCGTCGGCGAGCAGATGCAGCGCCGGCTGCAGCGCGGCGAGCAGGTCCTTGCGCTGCGCAAACGTCGCCGTCGGCGACGCGAGGGCGGCGACGAGGAGATGCGAGGCGACGGCGGAGCGCGCCAGCGGCACGAGCGAGGGCATCGCAAGCAGGCTGCAGTCCAGTCGCGGCGGAGGGGAAACAGGCGGCGTCAGTCGATGCGCTTCCGCTACGGCCAGCGGCGGAGGGGCCAGCGGGCAGAGACCACACAGCACACTCACCTCTGGTACACGGCATCATTGGCCGGCGCACTGAGCCGCGTCATGGTCTGCAACAAGACGCTGCCCTGCATCGTCGCCTCCCACTCCTGCAGCTCCTCGTCCTCGGCCCAGGCGCCGCGCGCGTCGTGCTCTGCCGGCGGCGGCGCCTGCGGCGTCGTCGAGGCCGCGTTGGCGCTGGCGTCGGCCTCAGTGTCGGCCTGCTGGCGCTTCCGGCGCCGCTCGGCCTGCCGCCGCCGCTCCTTGTCCCACGCCTTGCGTCCCTTCATGCTCAGCAGCACAGGCACCAGCAGGCGCTCCTGCTCCGGCTCCATCAGGCCAAAGGCGCCACGCACGGCGCGCACCGTGCGCTCCTCGAGGCTCTCCAGGCGCGCGCCGCCGCCGCCGCCGCCGCCGCGCGTGGGTGGCGGCGCGGGCGGATAGAGCACGCCGAGAGCGCCGGCGCGCTCCACGAGGGCAGAGACGACGCCCAGCTTGCCCTCCTTGACGAGCTTGTCGCCGGAGGCATTGAGTTCGCCCAGGGCATGCTCGAAGAGGAACGCCTCGCTGTCCGCGTCGTCGCCCAGCTCCAGCTGCGACGGCAGGCGCCGCGCGGCGGCCGCGACGACAAAGTTGGCGAGCGGGTGCGTGCCGAGCTTGCCGAGCTTGCCCTGCACGTGGCGCCGCCAGAAGAGCGCCAGCGCGGCGGGCGGCAGCAGCGGCAGCAGCGCCTGCAGCAGGTGGCTGCCGACGACGTCGCGCAGCAGGGCCTCGACGTGTGCGCTGCGCTCGTCGACGGAGTCGGGCGCAGCAGAGAGCAGGCCGTCGAGCACGAGATCGAGCGTGCCGCCCGGCACGGCGCGGCCGTCGAGCTCGAGCAGCAGCTGCAGCGTCGGACTGCCCGTCGTCGAGACGGACAATGCGCGCGCCTCGTTGGAGCCCAGCTCCGCCATGGCGGCCTCGCGCACGCGCAGCAGGAGCGCAGCAAAGGAGCTCGGCATGTGCAGCTGCGCCGCCCGCGCGGCGGCACCCTCGTCGGCGAGCGCATCGGGCGCCAGCGTCTCGCGCGCGCGGAACTTCTGCGAGCGCCGCGAGCGCTGCGCATCGCTCAGCGAGCGCCCGGCAAGGAGCAGGAGCAGCGAGCGCAGAATGTGCGTGCCAAAGGCGTCCTGCAGCAGGCGCGGCAGCGCGGGCAGCAGTTCGGCAGCCATGTCCTCGAGCAGCGCGCAGGCGGAGCGCAGCACGCCGCTGCTGCGAGGCCCCTCCTCCTCCTCCTGCTCCGGCGACAGCGAGCGCAGCGTGGCGCGGCGGCTGCCCGATGGCGCGCACTCGAGCGAGGCGAGCTGCTGCAGCGCCTGCAGCACGCTCTGCAGCACGTGCGAGCCGAAGCGATGCAGCGCCAGCGTCGTGAGGCTGGCACGAGTGGGTCAGCGCCGGCAGCGAAGCCAACATGCCCTGCACGCCGCACGCCCACGCGCCACTCACCTGCCACACAGCTTGTCGGCCAGCACGCGGCACTGGCGCGCCTCCATGGCGCCGACGAGCAGCTCGAGCACGCGGCTCGTGTCCGGGTCCGTCGCGATGGCCAGCTCGCGGCCGGCAATCTCGGCGAGGGCGGCGTTGCGCAGCGTGCGCCGCTCCTCGAGCGACGACACGTCGCCGTCATCCTCATCGGCAGCGTCGGGCTGCGCCAGCGCGGCGAGCGACGTCAGAGCGGTGCGCAGGTATGCCTTGAGGTCGGCATCGACGAAGCCAAAGGGCGCATTGGCGGCGAGTGCGGCGGCGTCGGAGGATGCGCCGGCGCCGCCCATCCACGCCGGCAGCGCGTCGCCGTCGGCCGGCGCGGCGCGCGCGTCGCCGTGCGCCTCTGCGGGCGCAGGCGAGGGTGCATGCGCTGCGGGCGCTGCCTCGTGCGCGTCGCCCTTCTTGTGCTTCTTGCCTCGCTGGCGGAAGCTGGCCTTGCGCGGCATGGTGCGGTGCGGGTGGTGGTGGTGCGAGTCGAGGCGGCGGCGTTCTTCGGCGCGCGCGCCGTGCGGCCACCGCCAAAAAAGTGGGAGCTTCGGGACTCGGGCCAGCCGGGTGGCCCGACGGAACATGCCGGCTGAGTCTGAGCCTGCTCCACATCGTCCCGTCCACCACCTCGCCCACGCCATGCTCGCCGTCGCCGCACCGCCGCGCCTGCTCGGCGTGCGCCTCTGCGTGCGCCGCACGGCGCCGCGGCGCTCGCTCGTGTGTGCGCGCGCGGCGCCCGACGGCTCGCGCCCGTCGCTGGCGCACTACGCCGCCGCGCCGGGCCTGCCCGCCGCGCACGCCTCTTCCTCCTCCTCGTGCCCCTCCTCGGCGCCGCGCTCGCCCGTGCTCGACATTGCGCCGGCGCTGCAGCTGCCCGTCTTTGCGGCGCCGGCGCACGCCGTGCGCGTGCTCGACTCGCCCGCCGCCTTCTACGCCGCGCTGCAGCGCCTCGTCAGCGAGGCGCACGAGCACGTCTTTCTCGCCAGCCTCTACCTCGGGCCCGGCGAGGCGGGTGTGGTGAGTCGATGCTGCGAGAGAGAGAGAGAGAGAGAAGCGCAGCCATATGTTGTGCGCGCGCGTGTGTGCAGGCCGGGCTCACCCCTTGCCCGCGGCCCAGATTGCGGCGCTGCGCGAGGCGCTGCGCCGCCGTCCGCACCTGCGCTGCACCGTGCTGCTCGACTACCAGCGCTCGACGCGCGAGGGGGCCTATGTGCCCGGGCAGCGCCGCAGCCACTCCAGCGCCTCGCTGCTGGCGCCGCTCGTGCGCGACTTTCCCGCGCAGTGCGAGGTGCGCCTCTTCCGTGCGCCGGGCCTGCCGGCGTGGGCGGAGCGCATGCTGGGCAAGCGCCTCGTCGAAGGCTGGGGCCTGCAGCACATGAAGTGCTACGGGCACGAGGGCACGACGCTGTGGAGCGGGTGAGTGCCTTGCGATCTGCGGCCCATGTGTATGCTGGGTCAGCTGACTTGCAAACGCAGCGCCAACCTCTCGCGCGACTACTTCACCAACCGGCAGGACCGCTACATGACGCTCGTGTCGCGCGCCCTCAGCGCCTACGCGCGCGCGCTGCTGCTGCTCGTCGCGCGGCATTCCTACCTGCTTTGCTCGCCCGACCCACCCCGGCGTGTTGGCGGCGGGCCACTCTCGCCGCCGCCGCCGCCGCCGCACGCGGCGCCCGAGGAGCACGGCGCCTACACGCTCGAGTGGGACGGCGGGCGCAAGGCGCTGCTCGTCGAGGGGCCCGAGGGCACGATCCAGCGGCGCAGCAACGGCGACATGGCGCCCGCGCCCGGCGTGCCCGAGCATGGCTGGCGCCGCAGTCTCGGCCGCGACGTGGCGGCGCTGACGGCGCGCTGGACGGCGCTGGCACGGCGGGCGCAGCCGGCACCCGACGCCGTACGCATCACGCCGCTGCTGCAGATGGGCCAGCTGGGCATCGCGCACGAGACGCGCGCGGCGCCGCTGCTGCTGCCCGCACTGGGCAGCTCGGCACGCCTGGCGCTGACGTCGGGCTACTTTGGCCTCTCGCGGCCCTGGGCGCAGCTGGTGCTGCGTGCCCAGGCGCCGACGCTCGTCCTGGCCGCCGCGCCGCGCGCCAACGGCTTCTTTGGCAGCAAGGGCATCAGCAGACACCTGCCGCCGGCGTACACGTGGCTCGAGCGGCGCTTCTGGATCGCCCTGGGCCGCCGTGGGCGGCGCGGCGATGGCGAAGCACACGGCGTGCGCATCGTCGAGTGGGAGCGTGAAGGGTGGACATACCACGCAAAAGGTGTGTCGATTCCGCCTGCACATGCAAAGGGGGGGGGGGGGGTTATTGGGCTGACGCAGCTTTGCAACAGGCATCTGGCTGGCCCCGGGCGCCGGCATGGCGCCGCAGCACACGCTCATTGGCTCGTCCAACCTCGGACGCCGCTCGGCACGGCGGGATCTCGAGGCCTCGTTGCTCATCTCGCTGCCCGACGAGACGCGCGCCAACAGCAGCAGCAGCGACGACGAGGCCGCCCTGGCCAAGCTGCGCTCAGCCCTCGACGCCGAGCTGCGCAGTCTGCGCAAGCACGCCACGCAGCACGTCGACGCGGCCCTCTTTGCGCGCAAGGAGCGCTACGTGCACCCGGGCGTGCGCGTGGCGGCGTGGTGCATACAGAGTCTGCTTTAGAGAGGGAGAGAGAGAGAGAGAGAGAGAGAGGCATTCGTCATTGCGCTTGCCCCCCATTCGTCCATCTGAGTACGGGAGCGTGGCGTGAGAAAGGGCGGAGTGGGCAGAGGCTCAGAAGCCGTCTTGCGTCTTTCGAAGGCGCTGGTGGATCTGCCTGTGTGGCGGGAAAAGACGGGGGGGGGGGGGATGGAGTGCATTAGCCCTGCGCTTCGTCGCGCGCGACGGACGGGACGACGGGACAAGCACACACCCACGCACTTGAGCTTGATGCCGACACTGCGGCCCTTGAGGCCCGGATGCTTGCTGATGGCGGCGCAGTTGGCGTGCAGAATGGCAAAGCTCTCGTCGAGGAGGATGAGGTTCTGCTCGGGCGTCCAAGGAATGGCGACGCGCTGCTTCTTCTGCGAGGCCCTCGTGGTGCCGTTGGATCAGCAAGAATCGAAGAGGAGCGCAATCTTAGGCGACGATGGCACGCACCTCGGCGGCGCTCTCTTCCTTCTTGGCACGCTGCGCCTGCACGTCTCGGGCTCTTCAGCAGCAGGCGTGTGAGCACGTCTTGTCAAGCACGCACGCTGCTCTCGGCCTTGGACGCTTTGGGCATGGTGCGTGTGTGATCCTCGTGCACGGGTGGGATGTGGGTGTTGAGAGGGTAAAAAGGCAAGCACGCGGCGCAGTCCAGCGACTCACTGCTGCTTCAGAGCACGAAGCGGCCATCCACGAGCCCCACACGGAGACGACGGCGGTCCGTCGTGGGCGTGCCGCTGTTGAGTGCCTCATCAAGCGCATGCTCATCACATCACGGCACGGCACGGCGGCGAGGCGTCTCGATCATGTCGCGCTCTGAGATGCACAGCGCTCGCGCCTGATACGAACATTCAGGGCACGCAGATCGAGATGGAATTTCACGATGCTGTGTGCGCAGGAGAGAGAGCAAGGGGAAGGAAGGGAGCTCAGAAGCCGGCGTGGTTCTTCTCGTAGCGTGCCGCGATCTGCCTGGAGGCGCGTCCGGCGGGGCGCAGTCAGCGCCAAACGAGCGAGGCCATCGCGCCGCAGCCTCACCGCAGCTTGAAGCCGACAGCACTGGTGTTGCGCGCGCCTGCCGATCGGCGCTGGAGTGAGCCAAGGCAGGAAGATGGGGAGCGCTCATAGGCACACTGACTCAGGCCCGGATGCTCGGCGATCGTGCTGCAGCTGCTGCGCGCCAGCTTCATGCAGGCGTCGAAGAGCGCATGCTCCTCGTCGGGCGTCCACGGCGTTGGCGGCGCACGCTGTGGCGACGTCAGCTTGGATTCTCAGGCTTGGGTCTTGCTCGATGGACGTCACCTTTTGCTTCTTCGTCTAGCACGAGGGCAGGTCGGCCATGAGCGGCGCACGGCGCGTCCGGATCGCCGCGAAGCTCACCTCCTTGCCGTCCTCGTCGCGGTTCTCGCCTTGGTGCTTCTTCGCTTCGACCTGCGACGACTCTCAGCATGTCTCTCGAAATTTTGAAGCGCAAGGCGCGCTCACTTTGGGCGGCATCTCGCGGGCTCTGGCTGGATGGAGATGGTGGTGCATGGTCAGGAAACGTGCCCGCCAAGCGTCTGCTGATGTTTGCTGCCGTCAAGGTTGACGTTTCCAGACGAGAGATTTGCTCCGGCCGGTTTCACATCGATATTGTCTCTGACATCAGACCAGAGTGACGGCGGTGAGCCCCTGTTGTGACGGCCTCTACGACGGTGCGGAGGTCATCAAGCTCTGGCGCCGCGGAACGCCACGCGGCCGGCGTGAGCCTCCGACGGCACGCGTCGTCGATAGAGCCTCATCAGCGCGGCCCCACAGCCGCAGTCCACTTCGATCCTTCCGCCGTCTGATGATCGCAAGGGAAAGCAGCAAGATGTTCCTACAAGCAGCTACAGAGATGGCCCGAGCTCGAGGGCGGACTCGCATGCGCGACTGAGGCTGGATTGGCGGCGGGCGCTACGCTTCGCTTCCGAACACCATCTCACCCCGTCTCTTGCCCTCGTCACCCTTCGACATGGCCGGCGTGAGCGTTGAGAAGCGTAGAAGTCGCGATGATCGTTGATTCAGGCTGTGTGCAGAAAAAGCGCAGTCCCTCGGAGGAGGCGAGCCTCAAGCCCGCATCTGTGAGTTCTCGCGGCTGGGTGACTCGGCCACCAGTGCAGTGCTGAAGCGAGCGCAGCCCAAGAAGCAGAAGTCCGAGGCGGGCGATTCTGCCGCACGCTCAAAGTCGGCGCCGCGTCTCTGGACGGACGAGGAGGAGCTGGCGCTCGTGCAGGCGTGCTACGACATTCTGAGGGTCAGGCAACGCAGTGGGAGCGATGCCAGCAAGAGGCTGATGCGCGCCATCAAGCAGGCCAATGTCCCCACCATCGCGGCTCACCCGGCGCTGCATTCTCGCGAGACGTCAAAGGTGAGACGAGATGTTCGCTGGCGAGAGAGAGAAGCTGACACTGCGCTGCGCAGGTGGGCCAGAAGCTCAAGTGCGTGCGCGTGACCTCAAGGCATGTCCTTACTTCGCTGACGACAAGCCTTTCTGCTCTTGCGCAGTCAGACTTTTGCCCATGTTCTCAAGCGTGGCTCATTCAAGTTTTGATGGCGCGCTGCCGCTCCTCGGGCCCGCTGCTCGGCGGGCCGTTGGGCTCCCGTTCTCCGCGACCCCACTCCCGCGATTGACCTGAAATCTCATTGATTGCCGCTGGCGTGAAGCGAGATACTGAGCCAGTGCCTGCCGCTAGCTACGCTTGTTCTCAAGCGACTGCGTTTTGATGTGAGCCAGAGCCGTCGCTGCCCTAAAGCCTGTGCGATTCCGGCTGCGCCGCTTCGTGGTCCACATCTCTCCCACATCTCCCCGTCCTTCACTCTGAATCATGTCTCCCGTCAGTCATGCATGAGGTTGCTAGGCCGCCCAGCTGAGCCACAGACACCGCAACAGAAGCGCAGCACACCCGAGGAGGCCAAGCGCCAGTCGCCGCCAGTAAGCCGTCATGGCGCGAGGCGATACACCAGCGTTGCATGCTGACACGCAGAGCAGGTCAAGAAGCAGAAGGCTGAGGCCAGCAGCGAGAAGAGTGAGAAGGGCAAGAGTGTCACCAAGCGCGCCCTGCCGCGTCCTTGGGATGAGAAGGAGGAGATGGCGCTCGTTGAGGTGACGCACAGTCTGCTCAAGGTACGCCGGCAGGTCTCGAATCCTCGGATCACGAGCTGACCTCTGGGTGGGTAGGCCAACCTCGCTGTGCTCGCCGCCCATGCCGACCTGCAAGGGCGTGATAAGAAGCTGGTAAGTGGCACTCGGCAGTCGAGTGCTCGCCAGGTAGGGCTGACCCCACTCTCGACCGCAGATGGCGCAGAAGATCGAGTGCGTTGCTCTCCGTCGACACTCACGTTCCTCCGCTGACATTCCACACAGCCAGACCTTCGTGCACGTCCGCAAGCGCGGCTCGCTCAAGTGAAGCTCTGCAATGTGATGCGCATTGCCGCCTCTACTGTGCGGCCGGCTGTGTCTCCGTGAAGCAGAGCACGCGCACCTCGACGCTCCAGCGCGGCTGCGCGTCTGGCCGCGACGTTGGGTCGACGAAGGCTGTGTGTGGTGTGCGCGTCTCGGTCTTGCTGTCGTACTGCGCAGCGAGCCGGAACATGTGAGCGTGAGAGAGCCGAGGATGGCGCAATGGAGAACGCACAGTCTTCAGAAAGATGCTCTTGTCCGTGTCGATGCCCTTATAGTAGTACCACTGGTGCTTCGGGTTGTGGTGGATCTGCGCTTCGCGTCAGGCGCTGCACAGCCGCAGTGCCCGTCGTGCACCACAACTCACGAGCAGCGTCTCGCCGGACCACGTCTCGTAGCGCAGCTCGCTCGCGATCCAGTCCGGCTTGCCGCCGTCCTCTCCGCGGTCGACGCTGCGCGAGTCGGCCACCGCGAGGGGGAACTCCTCCACCGGGCCACGCAGCGGGCGCCACACGTTGACGAGCTGGCAGTGCAGCTCGCCGCGCTGGACGCGCGCCAGCACGTCGTCGCCGAGGTGCTTGCGGATGCGCGTCTCGCCCGCGCGCCGGCTCTGGTCGCAGTGCGCTCGCGGCACGGGCTTGCGGTTCTGCGGCGTGTCGGGCAGGTGCTCGGTGCCGGACTTGCGCACCGTGTGGTCGAAGATGAACGTGCTGCAGCAGAAGGTGAGCATGGCGCACTCAGGCGCTACAGCGCGCTCACGCACGAGGTGATGCCGAGCTCCTTGCGCAGCAGCTCCGTCACATCGTCGTAGTACTGCTTGCGCAGCCACTCGTCGTCGTCCCAGCGGCCCTCGGCCCACGCCGCCTGCGTCTGCGGCGCGCCGAAGCCCTGCACGATCTGGAAGCCGGCCTGCTCCGTCGTCCAGCCGCGCGCGTGCTGCTCGGGTAGCGGCACGCCCGAGATGTCCTCGACGTCGAGCGGCACGACGTCGTCGCGGAAGTTGTCGATCGCCTCGCCCGCCGGCGGCTCGCAGAGGTACTGGTACGGCGCCTGCACGGCGCGGTCGAGGTAGTTGATCGAGGCGCGGACCATGGCGAGAGCTTGTGTATTGGGCGGTGGTGGTGGCAGTGAGAGAAGCGTGGCTGCCTGGTGCTCTTGTACTTCGAGCGGCACCCGCGGCGACGTGCGCACGGCCGCAGTCTAGAGTGCCGCTGTTGGTGTGGAGCGGGCACGACGCTTAAGGCCGATGGCGCCATCCGCACGCGGCGCGGCGTTAAGCATGCGCCAGCCCGATCCGCGCCTGGCTCCATCGGGCGCCGCGCGGCGCTCCACGCCGCCACGCACACGCCCGCAGCCCGCGGCCGCTCACACCGCTGCTCAGGAAGCGACATCAATGAGGAGACAGGCGCGAGACGGACAGTATGGTGGCGGACAGGGGTCTGGGTGATGATGACGAGGAGCGCTGCTGACCTCGGGCTGGTGGGTGACGCGATGGACCGACCGGAACGTGGTGGTGCTGATCTAGCGGGAATGGGAGTGGAGGGATGCGCGTGTGGTATGCTCGGGACCGATGTTCTGTGGGTGGGCGCCAGGGAGCGGCTCCGCCGGCGAGGACCGAGCCCTGTGGCTGTGAGGCTTGAGGCGCCTAGGCGCGCTCGGCAGCCAGGCGCTCGGCGCGGCGCACGAGCTCGGGACTGAGGTTCAGCAGCGCGGCCAGGTCGCCGAGGCCCGTTGTGCGGCGGTCGCGCGCCTGCTCAGAGGAGTGTCAGCCAGCGATGCGGCGGAGGCGAGTGAGCGGACACGAGATGTACTGCGGCGATGCGCTCTGGGAGAAGTGTCGGCGTCAGCGATGGCACACGTCGGCAGCGCTGCGGCAGACTCACTGCCGTGCGACGTGACGCCCTCAAAGGCCTTCATTGTGAGCGCCTCCTTGGACTGCGAGGCGGACAGGTGAGCAGGCCGCCTGGCACGTGTGCCTTCTCCTTCCGCACCTTCTGGATCTCCTGCATGCGATTCTCAATCGTTCCTTCCGAGACAAAATGGAAGACCTGCGCGAGGCGCATCAGCTGGGCCGCCACGTGGACGACGCTGCACGCACCTTGCAGTCGCGCGTCTGGCCCATGCGGTGGATGCGGTCCGTCGCCTGGTCGCTGATGGCGCTCTGCCACCAGGGGTCGATGATGATGCACTGCAGCGCAGGGTCAGCTCGGCGCACGCATGTGCGATCTGCAGCACGCACCGTCGAGGCAGCCGTGAGGTTGAGGCCGAGCGAGCCGGCGCCGATGGTGATGAGAAAGACGCGCGGGATGGTGCGGCCAATGCCCTCGCGCTCATCCTGCGCCGCCTGCTCGCGCTTGCTGAGCTGCGCCTTCGTTTTCTTCTTGACCGCGTAGCCGGCGTCGCGGCGAGTGGAGTCGAGGTTGTTCAGCAGGGACAGCACCGAGGGAGTGGGGCCGCCGGACCTCATGCGCGTGCCGCCGACGACGGGCTTGAGGTCGGGCAGGTCCTCCGGGTCGATCGGTCGGTTGAACGAGGCGATCGAGCGCTCGCGGCGCTCCTTGTTCATGCTGCCGTCGAGACGGCAGTACGGCACGCTCTCCAATTCGAGGCGCTTGGCGACAATGTCGAGATGCTTCTTGAAGTTCGAGAAGACGACGACCTGTGGCGCATGCCGTCAGCGCTGGGCGAGGGAAGGGCGGAGGTGGTCCTTACCTTCTCGGTCGGGTCCTGGGCCTCAAGACCGAGGATGATGCGGGTGATCTCGTCGAGCTTGGCACTGCCACGCTCCATCGTCCAGTCCTCGGCGTCGCTGTCGGCGGTGTCCTCGGAGCTGGCGCGTGACACGGGCAGCTCGATGAGCAGCGAGCCCTTCGGCAGCGGACGGCGGTCGAGCGGGCACAGCGGACCCGGCGAGTTCATGACCGTTTCAATACACTCGCGGCAGTAGGCATGGCGACACGTCGTGATGACCTGCTTGTGGCGTCAGCACATGGCGGCGCAGCGTGAGCGCATGACGCACCGGCGTCTTCTCGGCGAGGGCCGTGAAGCAGATCGGGCAGTCCTCGTTGAGCGCGACGACGGCCGCGAGCTGCTCCTGCAGCATCTCGATGGTCGCCTGGTCGAGCGTCGCGGGAGCATCGCCGTCCTTCTCGCCAGTGGTCCACTTCGCCGACCTGAGACGGCGATCAGCATGTGCAAAAGCACAGTCACACGGCCGACTCACTTCAGCTCCTCCAGCAGATTCGGGCTGACGAGTCCGCGGTGGCAAGCCAGCTGGCGCAGGCGCACGAGAAACACCAGGACGAACGATCTGCAGCGCCGCGCGTAGGGTCAGCCAATGCTCGGGGGCTGACGCAGCAACACACACCTCATGCGAGCCAGCTCGCCAGTCTCGATGAGCGCCTCGACGTGGCCCTTGAGCGCCTCCTCGCACTTGTCGTAGTACACGCGGTCGTCCGGACGCAGCGGCACCGTGTGCTCGTACACTGCAGAGGGCGTCAGTGATCAGAGAGCCCGGCAGAAAACTCGAGCGGCTCACCAGTGATAGGCGGCAGGGGCACAAGCGGCCTGCCATTGTCGTCCGTCATCGACTTGACGCGGCGCAGGATCAGCGCGCGGACGACGGCCTTGAGCAGGGTGCCGCCCATGCGCGCGTTCTTCTTGAGCGGCGTCTCGATGAGCTTCGTCCACATCTTGGCGTCGCTGGCGAACGGCTCGAGGCCGTGCCAGGCGACCAGCGAGCCGAGGTCCTTGGTGCCGCTGCGGCGAGCGCGTCAGCCACGCAAGCGCGGACACCGCACGCGACACTCACTTGACGATGGGCGTGCCGGTGAGCGACCACTTGCGCTGTGCCTGCACGTCGAGGATCGACTGGTAGATGCCAGTCTTGGAGTTGCGCGCGATGTGCGCCTCGTCCAGGACACAGCGGCGGAAGCGCGTCGTGAAGAGCGGGCCGACCCAGTCGCTCTTCTTGTAGTTGTCCTTGCGCTTGTAGACGATGAAGCTCTCGTCCGTCACTGCGCGGAGGCCAGGCGTGAGCTCGTGTGCCGCTGGCACGTCGCGGCACGCTCACTGTAGTCGTCCTCCTCGCTGTTGCCAAAGTCGCTGTCCGTGTCGTACGCACGGCCCTTGCCCTTGGCGCTCTTCTTGGCCTTCTTCTGCTCGCCGGGGGCTGTCAGTACGGTGTGCGCGGAGGGGCGGCAGTGGACGCACACTGGGACGGCCGGGCTTGCCCTTCTTCTTGGGGTTCGGGCCGTGCTTGAGGAGGCGCTTCTCCTCCTTCATACGTTCCTCGATGATCTCGAGATCTGCATCAACGCTGGCGAGCAGACCCGGCGTGACGGCCTGGGGCCGCCGTGCCTCTACTTTTTCTCTCTCCTCCTGGAGCTCGAGCATGGCTGCCTCGTAGAGTTCCTTGCGCCGCTCCAGATCGCGCTTCTCGGCCAGCACGCGGTGCTGGTTCTTGAGCGTGTCGAACGTCGTGAGGACGATGTCGTAGTTCTTGAACGTCTTGTACTTCTTGACCACGTCGGCTCCGTGGTAGACGAGCACGCGCACGCCGGACGTGTGAATCTGGAGCGAAGGAGTGTCAGCGGCTGCCCCCCAAAGCCTGCCTCGCGCAGGCTCACCGCAATCTGGTCCTTCCACTGCGTGAGAATCGAGAGTGGCATGACGATGAGGTTCGTGTGCGTGTAGGGCGCTTCCGGGTCGTCGTCAGGGATGCCCGTGTCGTCCTCGCTCGAGAGCAGCTCGTCCGACTCCGAGCCCGACTCGGTGTACGAGTCCGAGTCGGCAGACTCCGAGCGCGAGCGGCGCGACTCCTTCTTGACAAAGCTGCTGCGCGCCTTGCCCTTTGCTGCGCGGCCGCCCGCCTCCTTCTTCACGCTGGAGGCCGCCTTCGCCTTGCCCTTGCCCTTAAGGGCAGCGCGCTTCTTCGGCGCCGGGCCGTCGTCCTCCGTATCGCTGTGGCCGTTCTTCATGTCTGCGTCGGGCTTGACGTCGGCGCCGCGTGCAGCGCTGGGGTCATCGCAGTCGCTGATGATCAGGGCAACGACCTGCGAATCTGACGTGAGCGGCCATGGCACATCAAGCCGGTGCTCGCGACGTACCTGCAGCGTCTTGCCCAGGCCCATGCCGTCGGAGAGGATGCCGCCGCGCGGCAGGGGCGGCGGACGGCGCGTGGACTCGCGCAAGCCCATGTGGTACCAGTAGCGGCCGCCACGGGCATCCTTGCGCGCCACGTATAGCATCACGGGCTCGTCGTCGGGCTCCTGAGGCAGCGTACGGTGTTCCGCCTCGATCATCCAGCGCAGGCCCTGCAGCTGGTGCGGGTACAGCGACGTCTTGAGGCCGCGCGCTCTCACTGCGCCACGGCGTCAGCGGTGCCGCGAGAGTCGTGCCGGAGCTGACTCACGTGCGTCGGTGTCGGCGTACTTGGGCAGATGCGCGACGTCGAACGAGGCCTGCGAGGTGGTCAGCAGAGCTCATGGTCATCGCAACAAGACACTGACCTTCTCATCGTACAGCGCGCCCAGCGCGTCGTTGCCTGCAAGGCACAGGGTGAGCCCGGGCAGCGAGCCGGAGAGAGCGCACACTCACCGTGGTACTCTCCCTGCGCCATGTTGCGCAGCATGTCGGCCATCTCCGAGCCCGGCGCGGGCGGCGCGAGGCCATTGAAGAGCGCGCCCGCCGGGTCGTCGCCCTCGATCTCAACCAACTCCCCGTCAATGAAAACCTGGCGAGCCAGGCGTGCAGGCGGCAGTGCGGGCAGTGCGCCAGGCACCGCTGCGGGTGCACCTGCGGCCGCTATCATACGAGAAGCATCAGCGTCTGTTCGCAGCAGAGGCGGCAGGCGGATGACTCACGTCCGAGAGCGGCACCGACCAGCGCGACACCTTGGTGGAGGGCAGCCCAGACGGGGTCGATTGCGTTATTCCACCATGCGCGAGGATCTTGGCCTCGCTCACCTTGCTCGGCAGCCGCGACGACGGCGGGCACTTCGGGCTTGACGTCGCCCTCGTGCTTGACTCCGCTGGGACCGGCGACAGGCTGGGCCTGCGCCGCGGCCGCGGCCTGTGCGTCAGCGCGACGCTTGCGCCGCTCGGCAATGGCCTCTTCAAGACGAGCTTGGGCGATGCGTGCCCTCTCTTCCTTTCCTACACCCTTCAGCGTCTCGCGAGGTTCAGCAGCCACGACGGCGCGCATCTCGGCGCCGTAGTCTGCCGCGTCCTTGCCGGCGCCCTTGCGCGAGAGGAACGTGACGTTGCCGCCGTCGTTGAAGACGACATTCTTGATCTTGCGACGGTACGTCTCCGTCAGCTTGGTGAGCGCACTGAGGTCGAAGGCCACGTTGTGCGAGCGCGCTGCGATTGCCGGCGCTGGCATGAGTGTGCGTGAGCTCCAGCACATCGCCAGAACACCCGGCTCTAGCTCACCCAGCAGGAACGCGCGGTGCTGCACGGGGTACAAGCCGTTGAAGAAGGGCAGCAGAGCGCGGCATTGGATCTCGCCGAGAAAGGCATCGTCATCGGCCAGCGTCACGACGAGCATCGAGCCCGCGACGTTGATCTTGACCTCCTTACCGCGGGCGTCGAGCGCCTGCACCGCATCGTCGACACGCACGGCTGAGCAGGAAGTCAGCATGGTGATGACCGCGCGCGACAGCGTTCGAGAGCTCACCTGCTCTCAGCGTTGCGAAGCGCGTGTAGGCGCCCTCGGCCTGTGCTGGGGTTGCCGGGATGTGGACCTTGACGTCCTCGTCGGACTCGGCCATGTGCACGACCGGTGCGCGGCGCGGGGCAGGAACGGCACTGTCACGAGCGCCGGAGCCTGATGCCTCGCGTTTGACGCTACCGGACGCCACGTTCTTGGGAGGACCGTCGGAGCGGCTGCGCTGCGGCAGTTTGGCGACGGGCGCGGCCCTGCTGAAGCCCGAGCCGAAGTGCAGGTCAGGCAGATCCTCAGACTCGGAGCTCAGTGGCACGTCGGCCGCGCTGCGCTTCTTGCTTGCGCTCGCCGAGCCATGCACCGCAGGACGAGGCACGGGGCGGTCGGCCGGCTTGGTGTTCCCGCTGGAGGCGCGTTTCTTCGTCGGCGCCAGCACGATGGGCTGGTCGTCGCTGCTCGACTCGTCGCCCGAGCTCAGCTCGATGGCGTTCTCTAGCTGTGGCAGGTTTGGCGTCAGTGCTGTGTCGTGCTGATGTATGGGTAGTCGCACTGCTCCGCTACGCCAGCCTGACGACTCGTCCGTCGCCATCGAGCCGCCGCCGTCGAGCTGCTGCGCACTCCACGTCGCGCCGCGCACGCTTCTCCACATCTCCAAATCCGCGCCGCTGCGGCCCACTCACGCCGTGGCCCGCGCCGCCGCTGCCGCTGCTGCGTGCTTTGGGCATCTTGGCCGGTCTGCGCCGGGTGGCGAGTGGAGCGGGAGAGGTGAAGGTGGCGGTGTGCTGTGTGCGGCTTGATAGGGCGGGCGGTGGTGGTGGTGGTGAAGCAGGGACAAAGGGCTGAATCAGGCGTCCAACACCCATCGGGCGGCGCTGCTGCTCAGCCGCCGCGCCAGACCACTTTACGCGAGACGCGTGAGCCCGTTGATAGGCAAAGCGCGACGCGGCGGGAGGTGGCGCTGCGTTCATCAGCCAAGACTCGGCCGCCGCGCGAGAGGGCTCTGATCGTCTCTGACGCTGCACACTGAGGCGCTCCCGACTGTGCTGCTCCCGCCCGTGGCGCTGCCTGGCGCTGCAGGGGTCAGCAAGGCGGGGTGTTGCTCCGCCGCTGCGTGTTGGTCGCGCGAAGGCGCAGGGCGGTCGAGCGTTCCCACGCCCGCAGGCCAGATGCGGCAGCACACGCCTGCGCCCGCGTGATGCATCCTCCTTTCGTCCCACATTCAGCCCCGTCACACTCCTCACTCCGTCTCCAGCGCAGCGCTGTGCCGTCCACGCCGCCATGGACAGCCTGTCCGGCCATCTGGCGGCGCGCTACACGCCCAGCGACGCCAGTGGCTCGCAGCCCGCCTTCGACAGCGGCACCGAGCCAGCGGTCATCATCGAGCCGCGTCGCGTGTCCGGCCGCAACCACGCACAACAAGCGTCCGTCGTCGGGCGCATGCGCAACAAGGATGGCGCGCCGCTCGCAGAGACCAGCGCCGAGGCGGCCAACGCTGCTGGGCCGTCCAGGCCCGCGCCGAAGCCGCGAGCGGGCAAGCCGGCGGACAACTCGTTCCGCAGCTCGGACGCGGCGCAGATCTTCGGCAGTGGTGCGGTGCCCACGCTTGGCCCAAAGGCACCGCCGAAGGCCGCGGCCAAGGCAGTGCCGAAAGGCACCTCGCGGCCCCGGCCGAAGCCAAGTGCCACCTCGCGCCGCTCGCCCGAGCCCGTCGTCGACTCGTCGCCGCTCGAGGAGCTTGTGACGACTGCGCCGGCGGACTACAAGCCGCGCTCGCCGTCGCCTATCCTCACAGACGAAGACGAGCCGCCGGCGAGCAAGTCCGGCGCCGGGCCGAGCTCGCAGCGCAGTCCGCGTCGCGCTCGCAAGAGCGCCATCCGCATTCCTGAGCGCAGCGGTGGGCCGCCTAGCTCGCTGGAGGAGGCGGCAGCACAGAAGCGCCGCGAGGAGGCGCACATGAACGAGGGCTTCCGCGTGGCGCAGCAGCTCACGATCGACATGGACCTCTGGAAGTCGCAGGAGAGGTGAGTCAGCATGCGATCGGCGCCTGGTGTGCATGGCGAGATGCAGTCGTCCTACGTTGCGGTGCTTCGAGACTGACGCATTCGTCTAACAGTGCTAGTGCCTCAGCGAGGAACGCTGCACTTCCAGAAGACGCCGAAGGTGAGCGCGATCCGCAGCGTTCAGAATGCCGCAGAGCTCTGATGCATATGCTGCGCAGAGCTCGAGCGGTGCCCGTGGTGCGGCGCCGAGCTGCCCGAAATTCCGTCACCGATGCTCCTGTTCATGCTGCAGCAGCTGCTCGACCACGCGCACGATCATCCGGGCCAGAAGATCAGCGCCACCAAGACGGTCAACGCGTGTCATCGGCACCACGACGAGCTCGTCACAATCCCCGCCGGCGTTGCCAAGGGCTGGCCGATGCGGCTGGAGGAAGCCGAACTCGTACAACGCGCTGCGCAGCTGGTGCCGGAGCTGGAGGCGCGTGTGCGCGATCCGACGTCGAGCGAGTGGTTCGTGCGCTGGAAGCAGCGTGAAGATGCACGACGAGGCGCAGGGCACGGCATTGAGGCGTTCAGCGACATGCAGGCTGGCTAGTGAGTTGCACACGACGACCACACGCTGCGCCTCTGCTGACGTCTCGGCCACAGCTATGGCGAACTGGGCTGGATCACGCTGCGCAACGTGCTCACCTCGCACTTTCTGCGCTCACCGCCGTCGCCCGAGCTCGACCTCGCGCAGGCCAGCGCTCGCATCGCGCCACTAGGCACACAGCACTTCATCGACGCCGTGCTGCTGCCCGAGATGGTCTGCCTGCTGATCCAGGAGGACTGCACCTGCTCGCTGGCAGAGGCCAAGGCGCTCAAGGACGAGTCATCGGCGTATGGACTCGCGGTCTTTCCGGCGGCCAGCGACGAGCACCAGGGCTGGGGCGCCGGCGATGGCGCATTCGGCGAGGCGAGTGCGAGCTCGCAGAAAGGCCCATTCAAGCGCACCTCTCGCACAAGCCGCGCCGCCGAGCTCGACCTACCTGCGGGCAGTCCGCCGAAGAGAGCTCGAGGCCCGGAGCACGATGCGGCGCCGTCGCTTTCACCAGCGACGCAGCGTCCGAAGGCGCGTCCTGCGGCCGCCTCGACAAGTGCGCAGGCCTCAGGCTCTGGCACGGATGTGCCATCTCAACAGGGCCCGCGGCGGCCTCGTCCGCGCGCCAAGGTGGCAGCCGTGGCTGAGCCAGAGGAGGCTGCGCCAGAGATGCCTTCGTCTTCGCAGCGCAGGCCACGCCCGCGCGCCTCGAACACGTCGCTCGACGCGCGCGGCGCCTCGGGCTCGCCGACGAAGAAGCGCATGACGGTCATGGACCTCGAAGTCGGTCAGGAGCCTTCGCCGTCGCCCAGTGCTCGCCTACAGCCGCGCACGGCCGAGGCGCCGCCGCTGCCGAGCCAGGCCTCCAGCGTCGTCTTTCTCGGCTCGCAGCCGCAGCGCGAGCTCGACACGCCGCCGCCGCCGCCGTCGCTGCCCGCCTCGCAGCGCTCGCTTGACGCCTCGGACGCCGAGCCCGACGATGCGGCGTCTGTCGTGCGTCCGTGCTTCCTGCGCGGCGGACGTGCGCCGCCTGGTGCGACTAGCGCTGCGGGCGACGACACGGGCGTGTTCTCGGACAGCAGCGAGCTCAGTGACGCCGATGCGTCGGGCGAGGAGGACGACGCAGACTACTACTCCGTGCTGCCGTGAGGGCATGCGTGACGCTGCAATGACACCCTTAGTAGCTCATGCTGGTGCTGTGTGCTTCGGGGCCGATGTGTGTGACTGGGCACGCGCGGATGTGCGGGCGCCCGATGTGGAGGCGCGGATCGGGACGCGCCGCCGCACGTGACGCACCGGCCGCTCCCGGCGCAGCCAGGCACAAAGGCTGGGCTGGCGCCGGGCCCCCTGGCGGCGGCGCGGCGCGCGTCATGCGGTCGCACTCGGCCAGACCTTCTCGACCCCATCCATCCCGCCCCACTCCGCAACCATGGCCGCCCCGTCGTCGTCGTCGCCGCGCATCCCGTCCGAGGACATCATCTCGCAGAAGGTGCGCCTGCTGTGCCTGGCGCGTGGCCGCCGCCGCTTCTGCGCAGTGTGACTGACTCGGTGCGACTCGGCGCACAGACCGACCTCTGCATCAGCAACGCCATCGTCAAGACGGGCGCGGGCTTCGGTGTCGGCGTGGTGCTCTCGGTGCTGCTCTTCAAGCGTGAGTAGTGCGCGGTCACAGCAGGCAGCGCGGCAGAGGGTGCGGCGGGCGGAGCGTGCGCACGGGCCGGACGAGTGCTGAGGTGGAGGACAACGGAAGGGAGCGGACAGGAAGGGCCGGCATGGCGCCTGTCTCGAGGCAGAGCAGCAGGTCATTCGTCGCTGCAGCATCACGAATGCGGGCTCCGCAAGCTTGTCCAGACCACGCGCCCGGTGCGACCGCTGCGAGGCTACAAGGCTGGCCAGGCAGGCGCGGACGGGCTCGAGACATGGCTCAGCTTGCTGCGCCGGTGCCTTGTGCCCTACAAGGCGCTATGCTGCAGCCAATTTGCAACTCCAGGCGCTCTGCCAGGTGCAGCCTGTGCTGCCTCGCTCGCGCTCTGCGCATTCATCCAGAGAACTCGGTGTCTGGCGCCTGCGCCGCACACCGCTCCCGGTTGGCGGTACCGCAGCTTGACTGTGTGGCCCAAACTTGACCCGTGCCGCTCTTCGCGCGGCCTGCTCTTGCCGATGTCGCTCTTCGCGCGGCCTGCTCTTGCCGCTGCCGCTGCTGACTTCTGCCTCGCAGGCCGCGCATTCCCCGTCTGGCTCGGCACCGGCTTCGGCCTGGGCTCGGGCTACACGGACTGCGAGCGCAGCTTCGCGCCCGTCGCCGTGCCGGGCGTGCGCATCGTGCCCTCGTCGTCGCCCGAGAAGGGCAAGGCGCCGGCGACGACGCTCGAGCGTCTCTCGCAGAAGGCCGGCGAGGGCTTCGGCGCACTCAAGGAGAAGGCCAAGGACGCGTCGAGCGAGGGCGTGTCCAAGGCCAAGGAGCTCAAGGAGGAGGTGGCCAGCAAGGTGCGGCAGGTCTAGAGGGCCCGTTCATGGCATTGTGGAGGCGGCCGCGAGGGGCATGGAGCAGCGGGGTGCACCTGCTGTGCGTGCACCACCACATCTGCCCTGCGTCACCGAGCTCGACTCTGAATGACAACCACGTGACGAGCCCCTGGCGTGTCGAGTGTTGCGTGCCTCCACTCGGTGTTCTGGGCAGCGCGCCTTACGCCGCTCTTCTCGCAGTTTCTTCCGCGGCCATTGCTGCTCGAGTCGGCATCGCCGCCGCCGCACGCATCTGCCGCGGGCACGCTGCCGGGCGCCGACTGTCTCTCGTGCCGTCTGACGGGCGCGGCCACGCTCTCGGCGCTGGGCCTCTACTCGCTCAAAGAGGCGCACGCGCTCGGCACCTTTGCACGCACGCGCACACGCAGCCCACTGCGCGCCTACTCGCTCGTGACGTTTGCACTGGCATGCTTCGGCGGCGCGTACGTGCGCATGCAATAGCCACATCTGGCACGTGCCGCTCTCATTCTCTCGCAGCTGCGTCTCGGCGTCCGAGAGGCGTCGATGTGGCAGGCGAGCCCTGAGGCCCAGCAGGCATGGGCCGATGGGCGCACCACGTCGCCAAGCGCGCGCCGGCCATGGCTCGGCGTCGGAGGTGTTGGACGGGCGCGGTTGCGCCTCACGCGGCGGTCTCGCTCGGCGAGCGCGGCAACGTCGGTGCGGCAGGCTCTATGCATCGATGCACGGCGTGTGTGTGTTGCACCTGTCACAGGGCCGAGAGAAGCTCTGGCAGCCGGCCCGTGCGCCTTCGTTACCACAGCAGACGGCGCTTCCATCGGCGGCGGCACCGGGCAGCGAGCTGATCCCACGCTTCGGCGGCCGTCTGTTGGGCGAGGCGCCACGCCGCGCAGAGCGAGATGAGCAGAGAGGCGCCGCGGCGCACCGTACGCATGCGGTCGCGGCGGGCGCGCGCGACTCCCGCACGCGCGCGCAGACAGGCGGCGCGCCCGTGTCTCAGCGGCGCCGGCGATGCGCGCCGCATGCGGTGCGGCGAGACACTCGCCAGCGCCTCGCCTCGGCCCCCTGGCACCCCTCCTCGACGCAGCCGGGCCGGTGGGGCAGACGCTTGCGGCCGCAGCGTTGCTCGGCGCTGCCGCAGCAGCAGCTCAGCCAGCACCGCTGCCCACTGCGGATGCAGGCCGTGTCTCGCTTGCGGCGTGCACCATCCGCTCGCCAGGCGCCCAGCACAGCACCGCAGCACGCGTCCATGCGGAGGCCCTTACCCAGGCTAGCACGCCTGCGATGCATGCGTCGCCCTCGCTGCGGCGCTCCGCCCCTCGCCGATGCTGGATGCAACCATGTGCAGGCACTCCGCCACACGCTGCCTCGCTCAGTGCAGTCAATAGTCCGGCATTCCGTGGGTGCCGGAGGCCAGGCCGTCGCGGGCGCAGTCGCGCGGCAGGAGGCCGGGTCGCATTGGGTGCAGCCCTCGACGTTGTTGATCCTGGCATCCCGGCAGGACAGACGTCGCATGGCTCGATCTCTACCTGCCCATTGCACTTCTCTCGGCGCCGTCTGAATCAGCAGACGCCGCCAATCCCTCCGCCGAGCCGTCTCCGCCCGCTCCATCCTCGTCGACGTCCGGAATCGTTGGGCAAGCTGCGGCGTGCCAAACGTTGCCGGCACCCTCGAGCTGGCATAAGAAGCAGGACAGGGTGCCGCCGGGCCTGCTCCACTCCCCCCAACCATCGTCTGCGCAACCCATCCTCCCACCTGCCCCTCTGCGCCTGCCCTCATCCCGCCGGTCCACGATGCTCACCTCCCTCGTTCCGCGCTGGGCCCGCCGCCACGAGGCCGGTCCCGGAAACTCGCCCATCCGCCGCGGCAGCGAGGCGCTTGACTTTGAGTGCGCCGAGTCGGCCCACCTCACCTCGGCCCGTCGTGCCCGTCGCGAGGCCGAGATCGCCGCTGCCAACGCGCGCCTCGTTGCGCGCCTGGCCTCCAACCAGGCGCCGCACTCGCCGCAGCAGCCCCAGCACCAGCACCAGCACCAGCCGCAGCAGCAACAGCAGCACCACCACCACCACCAGCAGCTGTCCGCCTCGCCGCCGCACGGCCTCGCTCCGACGCGCCCCTCGCTCTCGCGCTGCGACAGCCGCGCCAGCGACGGCACGGCGTTCAGCGAGGTGCCGAGCTGGAAGTTCCAGACGGCCGTCAAGGTTCACGCCGTGCTGCCGTCGGCCGTCGGCTCGGCGCCGGCGCAGCACGTCGACATGCGGCCCATCTCCAACGGCAGCTCCTCGTCGAGCTACGTGACGAGCCAGTCGCAGGCGTCGGGCGTCAGCCACCTCGACAACTACCGCCAGCGCTTCTCGCGCCTGCCAGCCGGCGCCGCCGCGGCGGGAGCAGCCGGTGCGGCGGCGGCCGCCAACTCGGGCATCCAGTGGGCCGACCAGCCCTCGCAACGGCCCATCTCGGACGCCAGCATGAGCGCACGCAGCTCGGGCCGCAGCGGCAGCAGCGGCTACTCGTCGTCGGCCTACTCGTCGCCGCCGTCGTCGTTTGAGTTCGACGAGGAGCCGCCGAGCCCCGTCGAGGCCGTCAAGCCGACGCTGCGCAGCCGGCCGTCGCACGGCGCCCAGGTGCCGCCGCCGCTGCCCGAGGACGCACAGAGCAAGCGTGCCTCGTACACGACGCCGGCGCTGCCCCGCACCCACAGCCACAGCCGCTCGACGACCTCGCTGCCGAACCGCAACGGCCGCGACAAGTCGCGCTCCGGCAGCCCCGTCGAGGCGCCGCCGCTCTCGAGTGCCCAGGCGGCCGTCGATGCCATGGCGGCGCTGCAGCACGCCACCGAGGTCGCCGCCAGCTCGCGGCGCGCGCCCAAGCCGCCAATCCCGGCGCCCATCCTGCAGCGCCCGCCGCCCATGCCGGCGGCGACGGACGCCATGAATCGCACGCCGAGCGCCTCCTCCAGCGCCAGCTCCGTCGACCCCTGGGTGTACGACAACCGCAGCACAGCATTTGCGTCTCTGACGCGCGGCCCCAACGACGCCTCGCCGGCGCCGTCGACGACGTCGTCGGGCGACCCGTGGATCCAGCCGCAGCGCTCGCAGCCGCTGCCGCTGCTCGACCCCTTTGCCGTGCAGGTCTCCGGCCGTGCCGCACGCCCGCAGAGCGGCATCTACCAGGGCTTCACGTCGGCGTCGGGCGTGTACGAGCGGCGCCCGTCGACGGTGTACGACACGCTCTCGGCCGCCGCTGGCCCCGCCTCGCCCAACGACGGCCGCTCCAAGTTTGTGCGCGGCCAGTACACGCAGCCCACCATCCTGCGCCGCCGTCCCGCCGCCGAGGAGGCTGCTCGCCGCGACTCGGTCTCGCGCAAGCCGCTGCTGCGCACCAAGAGCCAGGGCGCCGCCGAGGCCGCCCCAGCAGCGCCGACGCCGAAGGCTGCCAGCCGTGCGGCCTTCTCGCGCATGAACACGGCGCCCACGGCGCAGTTCCCCATCGCGACGGGCGGGCACGACGACCTGCCGCCGTCGCCGATGACCACCACCAAGGCGCTGCCTCGCACCGCCGGCCCCACGCAGCCGCTGGCGCTCGTGGCCAAGCAGCGGCGCAAGAGCATCGGCGCGCTCGACATGCCGCCGCAGATGCCGCCGCCGAACCACCCGCCGCCGAGCATCTTCTTCCCGGGCGAGCAGGACTACAGCTTCGGCCCCGCGCCCGCCGCCGGCGTGACCTCGGTGCACAGCAGCAGCTCGCACGCCTCGACGCCGCGTGCCAACACCACGCCGCACGCCTCGCCGCGCCCACAGCACCAGCCGTCGCAGGCCTACTCGCCGCAGCCGCAGCAGCACGCATTCGCCCCCGTGCAGCAGCGCTTCGACGGCTATGCGCCGCAGCCGCAGCAGCCGTCGTTTGCGGCGTCGCGCCAGCGCGTGCAGAGCAACCCGACGTCGCCGTCGGCGCTGCGCCGTGGCGCGCCGGCGTTCGGCTGCGCCTTCTAGATAGATAGATCCCTCTCCTGTCCCCTGTCACCTGCTCCTGCGTGTCCATACGAGCTGCTCCTCGGCGCCCATAGGCTGCCACCTGTATTAGTACCTGCGCCTAGTCAGTCAATCACGCATCTCTGCCAGTCATCACGAGTGTGCGAGGGAGAGGGTGGGGGATATATTGCAGAGCAGAAGCCGACACAAGCCACATCAGAGACGCACGAGACAGCGCTCCTCCTCGTGCACGACCTCCTCGACAACGAGGATGATGCCGCTGGGCGCCGCCGGTGCCGCGGCGCCCGAGACCGCACGCACCGTCGAGGAGCGCGTGGCGCAGCCGACGTTGAGGCCGAGCTTGGCGAGTGCCTGTGCCGTCGGCTCCGTCTCCGGCACGCCCGTGACGCCGCGGCGGCGCTGCGAGTGCGAGCGCGCGACGAAGAGCGTCGGCAGCGACGCCGAGGCGACCATGCCGTGCGAGCGCGGCGCGGGGGGCGCCGACTGCGCCGACGTGGGGCGCGATGGCTTGAGGATCGACGTCGGCGAGAGCAGCGCCACGGACGGCGCTGCCGAGCGCACGACCTCCTGGCTGAAGCGCACCGAGCGCGGCGACGGCGCAGCCAGCGAGCCGGACATGGCCGACGAGGGCCGCTGCGCCGAAGGACCAGCGACACCGGCGGCGGCAGCGGCACGCAGGAAGGCCTGCTTCTGGCGGCATGCCTCGCGCACCTCGGCCATGGCACGCGGGCTCAGCACGCCCGCGGGCGCCGTCGACGGCAGCAGCTCGGAGCGCGAGCGCGACATGCCCGCCGCGTTCTTGGCCGCACCGCCGCCGAGCAGCTCGAGTGCCGAGACGGAGGGCACGGGCACACGGCGCGGACGCGGTGCGCCTGCCAGCGCATCGAGCTGCGGTGCCGAGGCGGCCGTCGGCAGTGCGGCGGCAGGCAGCGCGGCGGCCGTGCACGGTGCCAGCTCGGCCCTGGTCTCCTGCCAGAAGGCCTCGGGCGAGTTGCGCGAGGGTGCCACGACCTGTGCCCGTGCCTCGGCGACGGATGCCGGCTTGCACTCGAGCGAGCTGCGCCGTCCCGGGATAGAAGGACGCGGGCTGGCGGCGCTCGTGGGCGAGCCGGACGGGCGGCGCAGCTGCAGCACGATGACCTTGGGCGGCGTCTGGGCGCGGTCGACGGCGGGACCGGCTCCGCCGAAGAACGTCGAGCGCCGGGTGCCGGGACGCGGGCGCGAGAGCACGCTGGCTGGCGCCTCTGCGGCGGGCACAGCACCGGCAAAGCTGGCGCTCTTGAACATGTGCGACGGCGCCGTGCTGGCCGACTGCAGCAGGCGCGCATCCTCGGTGCGCGATGAGGCAGGCGCGGGGCACGAGGCCGACGAGAGGAGCGCCAGTGCCGGCGTGGAGCGGGCGAAGGGAAAGGCGCCCGGCGTCGGCGTCGGGCTGGGCAGGTGCTCGAGCGGCGCGGGCGTCGTGGGCAGGTTGAGCTCGGCGTCGTTGAGTGCCGGGCTGAACACGCCACACGCCACCGTCGATGCCGGCGACGCCTCCTCGACGCCGCCGTCGGCGAGCAGGTAGCTGAACTCGGCCAGCATGCCGGGCGAGCCGGGCTGCGCGGCCTCGCCCTGCTCGTGCGCGACCTCGGGCGTGACGAGCTGCGGCGTGCAGGGCGCGGCGAGCGGCGTGAGCAGGCTCGTGTGGAAGAGCCGGTCGATCTCGACGGGGCTGAACGCCGGCGCCGGCTGCCGCTGCAGCTGCTTTGTGCCGTAGCCATGCATGCTGTGGACGCCGTGCGACGTCGCCGACGAGGCATCGCTGGCGCCCGAGCTGCTAAACGCCGAGCGCGGCGAGGCGAGCGACTCGTCGCTCGAGGCGCCCGAGTCGGCGGCGAGATGGCCGCTGAGGATCGGGCTGTCGGCGGTGAGCGTCGAGGTGACGGTGTTGCTGCGGCTCAGTGCCGACTGCGAGGCGACGGGCGCACGCCAGAAGGCCGCCTCGTCGTCCTCGCTGTCGCTCTGCAGGCGGCCGGTCCAGCTGTGCCCAACCTCGGCGCTGAGCGGCCGCTCGTCGTCCGAGGTGCCGTAGCTCTGCGTCAGGTAGGCCGCCGCCGACGTGTACGCCTGGCTGGCCGGACGGGCGACGGCGACGGGCGCCTCCGTCTCCCACTCGCAGTCGCTGCCGAGGCCGCAAGCGAAGGCCATCTGCTCGGCCAGCGACGGCGCGCGCGTCTCGCTGAAGTCGGCCGGCAGGCGCAGCAGGCCAAACGAGGGGCGCTGCTGCGTCGGCACGAGGGGAAACGGGTACTCCTCGGGCTCCTCCTCGTCGTCGTCGTCGTCGTTGGCTGCCGGCGGCGGCGCGGGCTGCGAGACGGTGCGGCGCTTCTGCAGCGCCAGCGGCGCCGTGCGCGGGCTGCTGGCCAGCGCCGGCGACGGCAGCGAGCTCGAGTCGGGGCTCCAGCCCTGCGCGCCCGTGAGGCCGCACTCGTCGCTCGACGACGCCGCGGCGAGCGGGCTGAGGCCGTTGACCCACTCGGTGGCGTCCTGCGCCCACGCCGGCGACGGCGGGATGCGCAGGCGCGGCATGGGGCGCCGGTGCAGTGAGGCGAAGCCGTTGCCAATGTCGCCGAGGCCGAGCCCCATGAGCCCGGCGGCCGGCGGTTCGGGAAAGGCAAACGTCTCGGAGCGCACGCGGCGGCCGTGCACGGCGTGCGGCGCGCGCAGCCGCGGGACGCGCAGCTTGGACGGCAGTGGCGGCGTCGGGGCGTCGGGCGACGAGAGCAGGCCGGCGTCGAGGAGGCCGGCGGGCGAGTGCAGCACAAAGTGCATCGGCGCTGCGCCCTGCTGCGGCGGAGGGGAGAGCGGCAGCGCCCGACGAGCGCGCGGCGGCACCCGTCCCGACGACACGCGCCGCCGCTGCGAGCCCGAGCAGCGACGAGCAGACGGCAGCACATCCACCGGCGACGGCCGCGACACCTGCACAATCAACGGCCGGTCCGCCATCGAGACACGGCGCGGCGCCGGGCGCTCCGCCGCCACGTCCGCCTCGCCGCTCTCGGAGAGCACGCGGTAGCCGCCCAGCGGGCCGCCGGCGGCGGACGGGCGCCGCGGCGACGAGACGGAGTCGCCCGACGTCTTGGCGAGCACGAGCGGCTTGAGGCGGCGCGCCGGCGAGATCTGCGCCAGCGCGTCGGCGGCAACAACGGGCGAGGCGGCCATGGTGAAGGGAGAGGGTGAGGGGACTAGAGGACAGGAGAGGCCGAGAAGAAAGAGAAGCGCACGCCTGCCAGAGGCGACGCGGGAGGATTAAGAATGAGAAGCGAGAGCGACGAGACGAGAGGTGGAAGCAGCGTCAAGCTGTCCGTGTGGAGTGGGGGCTGGCCGGAGGGAGGTGGAGCGCAGGCAAGAAGGACGATGGCGCGCACGAGGGACTCTTAACGCAACCGCACCCTGGCGGCTGGAGCAATGCAGCGGCCGTCCTGCATGGACGCTGGCGAGGGCGTCATGGCGTTGGCCAGCGAGGCGTCGCCCCAGCGCCGCTTGGCAGGCGGGGCGCAGCGGTGAGGAGGCCGGACGGACGGCCGCGGCGGCGCCATGCGAGCGCGGCCTGGCGCGGCACGCGGCGTAGATGTTGACGGCGCCGCCTGCCGTGCGCCATGCCGAGCTCTGCGTGGCGCGCCCAGCGAGACAGGCTGCGGCGGCGACTTTGCCCGCTGTGCAGCTCCTCATGCACACCTGCCGTTCTGGGACAGCAGAGATGCCACAAGGATAGCCGAAGCGTGGTCAGACAGGACACAGCCTCCGAGAGGCAGGCGCGCGCCAGGGGCCTCCGAGGCGGTCGCTTACGTAACGCGCTTGCCTCAGCGCCGCCCGCGCGAAGAAGAGACGCCGGCTCGAGCGCGCCTGGCTTCTCGCTCCTCCACCACCACCGCCGCCGCACCCGTGAGTAGCTATGCCGCACTTGCTTCGCAGCAGGGCCGAGAGGATGAGACACACGCTGGCACCAGTCCGACCCTTCATGACGGATGACGCATTCCCGGCCGCCACCTATACGCAAAGGCGGCCCTGATTCCGCTCTGCTGCGCCGCACCCTGCTGTGTCTGCGGTCGTCGCTGACCCATGCTCTTTGCCGTGCTGCAGTCTGCCTCCCTTCTCCCACCACTCTCTGTACACTACCGCCGCCTCTACTGTATCACCCACGCATTGCATCTTTCTCCTTCTCTCTGCCGACCATGTCGCGAAGAGCCGCAGCAAGCCTCGTCGCCGGGCCCAGCCGCATTCGCCTCGCTGCACCATGCCGGCTGCCACGGCCCGCCGCATGCTCCTCGTGAGTGGTGCCTGTCGGTGCGGCCAGGCAGCAGCTGATGCCTCGCTGCAGGACACGGCACCTCTCCTCCACTGGCGGCGGCGGCGGCTCCTCGTCGCGCGACCCGGCGTCCGAGGCGCACTTTTCCAAGCTCTCCAGCACGTGGTGGTCGCCGTCGGGCGAGCTGGGCCTGCTGCACGCCATGAACCCGGTGCGCGTGCGCTGGGTGCTCGACAAGCTGCGCGCCGTCGATGCGTGGGACGCGGCGGTGCGCGACGTGCGCGAGGGCCGCAAGGGCAGAGAGGAGCCGGAGGAGCAAGGCCTGCGCGGACGCGAGACGCTCGATGTGGGCTGCGGCGGCGGACTGCTGACCGAGGTGAGTGATGGGCGCGGCAGTGGGACGAGCGCAGCCGCTCATGGCCGTTGCTGCTGCAGTCGCTGGCTCGGCTCGGCGCCCGCGCCCATGGCATCGACGCCACGGCGTCGAACATCCCCATTGCGCTGCACCACGCCTCGCAGGACCCGTCGCTGCCGCTCGTGGGCGCCTCAGGCCCGGCTACCGACGGCGCGTCGCTCTCGTACGAGCATACCACCGCCGAGGACCTGCTGCTGCGCCGGCGGGCCGAGTGCGGCGCCGGCAACGAAGGCTACGACGTGGTCTGCGCCATGGAGGTCATCGAGCATGTGGCGGGGCCCGGCGACTTTCTCCGCAGCCTGGCGCAGCTCGTGCGCCCGGGAGGGCATCTCTTCCTCTCGACGATTGCACGCACGCCGCTCAGCTACTTTCTCACCATCCTCGTCGCCGAGGACGTGCTGGGCCTCGTGTCCAAGGGCACCCACACGCACTCGCAGTACATCAACCCCACCGAGCTCGACGCCTTCTTCACGCACGAGATCCCCTGGCTGGGCCAGAAGCCCCGCGACGAGCTCGACGCGCGCACGCCGCACAAGATGCGCAGCGAGACGCGCGGCGTCGCCTACATCCCTTGGCGCGGCGCCTGGGAGCTGAGCCCAGACTGGGCAAAGGAGTGGAAGACGGAGCAGGGCAACTACTTCTACTACATCCGGCGGCCGCTCGAGGATGCGTAGTGGGCGGGGCGCGTTCATGCAATTACAATCGTACAGCTTGGTGCGAGGGGGAGAGAAAGAGAGTCTAGCGCGTGCAGGCGACGCTGTGCAGGCGGGATCAGCCTGGAGTGCGAGGAGCGCAGCAGCGTAGCCACTCACGCGCTGGTGAAGCCGCCGTCGATCGGCAGCACCGTGCCGGTGACGAACGTGTTGGTGGCCAGGAAGAGGATGGCCGAGGCCTGCCGCGCATCACGTCAGCTCCACCTCGCGCTGCACCCGCTGCGGCACTCACCATCTCCTCCTTTGTGCCCGTGCGGCCCGCCGGGTTGGCGTGGCCCGTCACGGCGCTCTCGTCGGTCTCGCCGTTTGCGCTGGCCGTGCCGGCCGTCATCTCGCTGGGGAAGAGGCCGGGCGCCAGCGCATTGACGCGCAGGCCAAGGTCGGCCGAGAAGGAGAGCTCGTGCGCCAGCATCGAGGTGAGGTGGTTGGCCGCCGCCTTGCTGCTGTTGTATGCGTAGCTGCGCGAGAGGAAACGTCAGTCTCGGCGGGGCGCTTCCGCAGTGTGGGCGGACGCACTGGTTCTGCGCCGTCTTGACGAGGCCCGAGATGCTGGTGATGTTGATGATGGTGCTCTTCCATGCCGCCTTGCTGCCGTACTGCGTCGGCGGCGCCTCGTTGCCCGCCGAGAGCAGCGGCAGGAAGGCCATCGAGGCGAACCAGAGGGCGTGGTTGTTGAGCGCAAACGTCTGGCTCCATGCCTGCGGTGTCACGCGTGTGTCAGCCAACGCAGAGCGACTGCTGCTGCACAGGCGCGCCTCACATCCATGCTCTCGCTGTCGAGGTGCACCTGCGACAGCTCCTCGGCGCTCATCTTCTTCTTGGCCTCGGGGTCGAGCTTGGTGCACGGGCCCTCGACGCCGGCGTTGCTGGAGAGGGTATTAGCTGCCTGCAGCACAGCACAGCACACTACCGCGCCTCACTTGATGAGCACGTGCACCTTGCCCTCCTTGTCCTTGACCTCGGCGACGAGGCGCAGCAGCTCGTCGCGCTTCGTCACGTCGCACGCGAACGGCACGAGGCTGCCGGGCAGGCCCTGCGAGTGCGTGCTCGACGCGCGCTCCAGCACCTCGGCGCGGCGCCCGGTGATGTCTGAGGAGTGAGGATGAGCCGCTGCAGCACAGCAGCGCACAGCACTGCTACTCACACACACGCGCGCCGGCGGCGGCGAGCGCCTTGGAGGCCATGAGGCCGATGCCGGTGCCGCCGCCGGTAACGACGCACACGGCGCCGGCGAGCTGGAAGAGGGACGAGGCGGCGAAGGTGGACATTTCTGCAGCTTGGATGGTGGGGGTGCGGAGAGAAGTGCGGCAGTGCCGGCTGCTGCACATGTGCCCCGCCGGACCGCTGCTTTTCGTTCTTGCCCCGTCCTTCCAGCACCGGCGCACCATGCAGGGTCGCTGTGCTGACGGGGAGAAGCACGGCTCGGCGATCTCGAGATCTCCGCGCACCGCTGTGGAGGCAGCGAGGCGGAACGCGGGGGGCTGACTAAGCAAGCGGCGCCTCACCTGCGCCCAAGCCGTGGCCTGTGCGCGCCGCCCGCCCGCTTCTCCTCTCACACCATCACAGCTGGCAGGCATCAGATACATTGGAGCAACACACAGCGCAGCAGGCGCGGCGTGTCATGGCGCCGACTCGGGCGGGACGAAGAGCTCGAACTGCGGCGTGCCCGCGTCGCGCTGCCGCCGGTACGCCGCGTAGCCGGCGTCGATGTCCGCCTTGGCCGCGCCGGCCACGCCAAAGTACACGTCGCCCAGCGCCAGCGTCTGGGCGCGCATGCGTGCAAAGTCGACGGCACCCTTGCCCCACGACGGCGCCCACAGCGTCCACGGCCCGCTGATCAGCGCCGTCGTGGGCACGAGGCGCGTGTGGAAATACGAGCCCAGCCCGGCGAACGATGTGTACATCGGCACCACGGCCGGGTTCGGCAGCCCGGCGCCGCGTGTGACGATGGTGCGGTCCAGGCGGCGCCGCGCCACGGCCGCCTGCACGGCGCCGACGACGGCGCGCATCGGCCCGACGCACCACAGCATCGCCTCGCCCTTGCCCGTGTAGCGCAGCTCGGAGCCGGGCTGCCCGCCGGCGCGCGCCACCTGCTCGACCTCGCGCGTGGCCATGTGCTCGACGGGCACGACGAGCGTCACGTTGTTGGACGCCAGGCCGTCGGCGACGGTGCGCGAGAAGAAGTCGGTGCCCTCGCGCGACAGGTGCAGGTGGCCCGAGTTGAAGGCAAACTGCAGCGTGCGCCCACGCTGCGACAGCGGCAGCGCAGCAAAGTAGCGCAGCAGCGCCAGCAGCGCCGCCCCGCCGTTCTCCTGCACGTACGAGACGCCGTCGGTGTGCGTCACGTACACGACCGTCTCGGGCGACTGGCCCGGCAGCGTGGCGTACAGGTTGCGCGTCGTGGTGCGGTACACCTGCGCCTCGACGCGCAGCGTGGCGCTGGCGCCGCGCCTGGCCGCCGCCTTGAGTGTCGCGCCCTCGTCGACGCCGACGAAGACGCCCGGCACACGGTACATCGTGCCGTCGTGCGGCGTAAAGGCGGAGCGCATGTAGCTGCGCGGCACGTCGTACGCCGTCACGACGCCTGCGGCGCCCGCCGTGCCGGCGGCGAGCATGTCGGCGAGCAGCTGCGGCGCCGTCGCGGGCCGCTTGTAGCTCTTCAGCAGCACCGAGGTGAAGTCGCCTGTGTTGCTGTAGGACGGCACCAGCACCACGCCGTACGGCAGCACGTTGCTGTAGTCAATGTCGCGCACGACGACCTTGCCCGCGGCGTTGTCTGCCGTGATGGGGGTGCCGCTCGGCAGGAATACGAGTGGCGCTGTGACGCCCTTGGCGCCCGTTGGCTTTGAGTATGCAATGGCGCTGGCAATGTCGAGCGACGCGCCGTCGACGCGCAGGCCGCCGGCCTGCTCGAGCGTCTGGCCCTCGAGCGGCTCCCAGCTGGTGAGGCCGTACTCGTGCGACGAGAGCGTGACGCCGGGGATCGCCTTGAGCTGCCCCTCGAACCAGGCGACCTTCTGCTTGTGCAGCTTGCCGCCCGGCATGCGCAGGCCGCCGGAGCAGATGGCGTCGACGTCGCGCTCCAGCTCCGCGGCGCTGGCAAACTTGCTGGCGTCAATGGTGAGCGCCTGCGGCTGCGGCGCAGCGAGGATGCCGCGCACGGCCGAAGCGCACACGAGTGCGATTGCGGCGCAGATGGTCCAGCGGAGGCTGTGGGGGAGGGACATGGTGCGGGTAGAGGTTGCACGGCGGCGGCTACTGCTGGAGACAGCGCCGCTTATGAGGCTTTCCTCCGCAAGGCCGGCCGGCGCACTCAGCCGCTGGAAACGTGAGTCGCGCAGCTTGCCCCGCCTCGTCGTTTGAGCCAGACGAGCAGCCGTGCTGAGCTTCCATGGCAGCCGCTTTGCCCAGGAGGCGTGCACAGCCCGGAGAGCCGGCCGGAGCTCCGGGTGCGGCGCCCGGAGCTCCGGTCGGTACCACGCTAGTGACCGCTGCAGCAGGCTCCGCATCTCATGTGGGGCGCACAGTGCGGAGTGCGCTCATCTGGGGCCCGAATAAGCATCGTAATCCGGATTCCGGATAGGCGATGCTGCGGCTGTAGGGGCAACGGCATGTCCTTGCATGCTCCGGTGTGCGAGTGAGAGCCGGCCGCAGCGGCACGGCGCGTTGAGCCCACGTCCGCTGCAGCCGTCCCACCACCACGGCCCTTGCTCGGCGCCGCGCGGCAATGCGCAACAGAAGCCGCTCGGACGCAAAGCTGCACTCGCCGCGACGATGGTGCGCCGCCGGCCCGCGGGTCCGTCGAGCCGCCTCATCAACTGCGAGTACTGCCGCACGAAGAAGGTCCGCTGCGACCGTGTGCAGCCCGTGCGTGCTCGGCCGGCACGCTCGCGTGGCACACTCCCGCACATGCTGAGGCCGCGTCCCGCAGTGCTCCTTCTGCGAGACGCACGGCGTGACGTGCATCTTCAGCGGCGCTCGTCCGCCAGCGCAGCGCTTGCTCGCGGCTGGTCCGAGCACGCTGCCTGCTGCGCCTAGCCAGGAGGCTGAGTTGCTCCGCCGCGTCGATGCGCTGACGGCCGATGTTGCCTCGCTGCGTCGCAGCACCCAGCAGCAGCAACCGGCGCCGCCGCAAGACTCGCCCGATCTGCACCGCGCGCTGCTGCCTGACGACGAGGTGATGCGCCACGCCCTCGCCTTCTACCTCGATCACATCAACGTCGGCTTCTACGCGCTCGAGCCAGTCGAGAGCCGGCAGAAGCTGGCTACGCATGCCGCACGCGGGCGCCCCGGCACATGTTACGGCAGCACCGGCGCACAGGGCATCGCGCTCGGCACGCTGCTGTGCGTGTACGCCATGGCGCTGTGTGAGGGCTTCCGGCCGCACAGCCCGCAGCGCGACTTCTCGACGCCGGCACCGGGCATCGAGGCGCTGCGCAGCGCTGGCGTGGCGCTGTATCGCGGCGCGGCGATGCACTCGCGCACCGACCTGCCGGCGCTGCGCTTCGCGCTGCTGCTCTGCGTGCTGCTGCGCGCTACGGGCGGCGCCCACGAGGCGCTGAGCATGTGTCTTGTCGACGTCGTGCAGCTGACGTACCGGCTGGGCCTGCAGCGCGAGCCTTCGGCGCGGCTGTACGGCGCAGCGCAGGCGCGCGACCGCCTCAACCTCTTCATCACCGTCTGCTGCCTCGACTGGGGCACCGTCGGCACGACCAAGGCGTTCACGGCACTGCGCGATGCCCCGGTGCTACAGCCGCTGCTCAATGGCCGCGCCTCGCCGCTCGAGGGCAGCAGCAGCGGTGGCGGTGGCGAGGTGCTGGATACGTACATGGCGCTCAAGTTCCGCATGGCGCGCTTCATTCTCCACGCACAGCGGCACCGCACGCATGCTGCAGAGGAGGGTGATCCGGCGGCGGACAGCATCAGTGAGGCCGCCCTGGCTCAGCAGCTCGAAGCGATCCACAAGCTGGCCGACGGTGTGCTCGAGGGGCGCGCTGCGTCGGGCGGCGATGCGGTCGAGGCGGCGCTGCGCCATGCGTCGCTCTCTGTGCTTCTCGCCATGCTCGCCATTGTGCACGGTCAGACGACGAGTCGCCTCGCAGACGACACCAGTGCGGCACTCGACGGCTGTGCCCAGGTGATCCGCGTCTTTGTGCAGCTCCTCGCCCGGCTGCTGACGCACTACGGCGTGCACACCAGCGCCGCGCTACCGCCCAGCTCGATGGGCGTCGAGTACCTCATCGCACAGCAGCCGGGCCTGTGGCGCTGTCTCTGGTTCCTGTTGCAGAATGTGGCGACGGCGGTGCGCCTCTTTCGCTCGCTGCAGCTGCACGTCCTGCTGCACGGCGCACCGCACGCCGGTGCCGCTGCGCCGCCGAGCGCCGACATTGAGCTGGTGGAGCACTGCCTGCGGGCGTTGCAGGCCGCCGGTATGCTCCCGGCCGCCGAGCCGGCTCCCGACGACGAGGAGCACTCGAGCTACGACGAGCTCGTTGGCGCGCTGACGTTCTTCTGAGCGTGCGAGACTGAGGCGCAGTGGTGCTGAAATGGCATCTCTTGACTGCATCTGGCCCGCACAGCGGACAGCGGTGCATGCCAGCACAACGAGAGCATCATGCGCCGAGTGAGCAATCCAACGACGGTGCTGAATGGCTCGGTAGGAGAGACAGTGCGGGATGGCGAGCATGGATCTCGCCGGAGGAGGCGCGTCTCGCTCTCTCGCTCTCGGCGGCCGCCGCGCGGCATGGGTTTAGCCGCGGCCGCCGCGGCGGCCGTCGGGCCGTGCGTTGCGGTGCCTGGACGCGCGCAGCGGACCCTTGAGCTCGCTCCTGTCTGCGCATGCGGTGCTTCCCGTCCTTCTCCCACCTCCCTCGCACCCTCACACCCACGCCGCTCCTAGCAGCGAGCGTCTCGCCTGCTTCGCATTCACATCGCTCGCTTGTCATCGCAGTCCTCCTCTGCCTCTTGCGCCGCACCCTCCGCTTGCAGCCCTTGAGCGCAGCTGAGCGCGACCGAGCGCAGCGTGCGCTCCCATGGCCGCAGCCGCCGGCGGCTCGAGCGGTGCGGCGACGGAGATGCGAGCCGATGCCAATGGCGACGAGGTGCCGCAGCGCGAGGCACGGCGCAGCTGGCATGAGGCTCTCGCTCGCCGTGCCGCGCCCATTGTGGCGCACACGGCGCCGAACGGTGATGCGGGACCCTCAAGACGCACAGTCGGTGAGTGCTCGCCGAAATGGAGACACGCCGGGGGACAGATGGGCGTCGAGATATCGTGAGCAGTGTCGTGACGACAAACGCCGCCACTGGTGCTGCCGCCCGTGGCAGGCGTGCTCAGGAACTGCAGCTGTCGACTTCGGTGTCTGATGCATGCGCCGCAGACCTCGTCGCACAGCTGCCGCCCGAGCTGGCGCTCCTCATCCTCGCACAGCTCAGCCATGCCGACATTCAGGCCTGCCTGCTCGTCTCGCACGCCTGGCATGCACGCGCCATGGCCGGCTCCGTCTGGCGTGCCCTCTTCGCACGTCGTGCCGACGCCGGCTGGGCGCTGCGTCCCGACGCCGAGGCCGTGTGGGCCCGCATCGCGGACGATGCGGGCGACATCGATGCGCTGGCGTCGCAGCTCGGTGCCTCGGCCGGCCTCGACGACCACGCCGGGCCGTCGCGGCGAGCGCTGCACTGGCACGACCTCTACCGCGCCCGCCACGCCCTCGCACGCCGCTGGAACCTGCTGCCCGGCGCCGCAGGGCCTTCACGCTCGCAGCTCTCCTCGCCGCCGACGCCCATGACACCCTCAGGCGCTGCGCTGAGTGCTACGGCGCTCGCACACTCGCTGGCGTTCAGCTCGCCGCAGCCAGGCCGCGTGGTGCATACCAGCACACAGGGCGAGGCCATCGCGCTGCCGGCGCTGCAGCCCGTCACGCGGCACCTGCGCGGCCACACCGACTACGTCTATTCGGTGCGCTCCGACCTTGGCCTCTGGACGCCACGCGCCAACGTGCTCGCCGCATTGCGCGCCAGTCGGCCACGCGGCTTCTGCCGTGCCGACGGCTTCGAGACGCAGGACGAGGCCGAGGAGCGCAGTGCACACCGCGCACGCCTGCGCGGCGAGCGCTACCAAGGACCAGGATTCGCACGGCGGCAGCCATTCGCAGCGCCGGCCTCGCCTGGCCACGCAGACGACGTGCTGCGCGGCCTCGGTACGCGCGGGCGCATCGTCTCGTGCTCGCGCGACCGCACAATCCGCGTGTGGGACGGGCAGACGGGCGCCTGCATCTACACGCTTGTCGGCCACACGGCCAGCGCGGTCTGCTTGGCGTACGACGACGAGCTGCTCGTCAGCGGCAGCTCCGACATGACGGCACTGGTGTGGGACTTTCGCGTGTGCGCCTCGCGCGCGCGCGACGACGACGGCGCCGACTGGCAGCCGCGGCAGCTGGCGCACCTGCGCGGACACAGTGGCGCCGTGCTCAACGTGTGCCTCGACGAGCGCTGGATCCTGACGTGTTCGCGCGACACGACGATCCGCGTGTACGAGCGCGCCACGCTGCAGCTCGTGCGCGTGTACCGCAACCACGCCGGGCCCGTCAACGTCGGCCTGCTGAGCCGCGACGCGGCGGGGCGCAGCATCGTCATGTCGGCGTCGGGCGACGGCAGCATGCAGCTGTGGGACCTGGCGCGCGGCGAGTGCCTGCGCACCTTTGTCGGGCACGAGCGCGGCGTCGCCTGTCTCGACTTTGGCGGCGGCGTCGTCGTCAGCGGCAGCAACGACAACACGGTGCGCGTCTGGGACGCGGCGTCGGGCCGCTGCTGTGGCATCTCGCGCGAGCATGCGCAGCTCGTGCGCGCCGTCGTCTGGGAGGCACGCCGCCGCGTCGGCGTCTCGGCGGGCTACGACCGGCGCATCGTGTGCTGGAGCGTCGCGCCGCAGCTCCTCGTCGGCGACGCCGACCCGCCGCCGGAGCTCGAGCCGTTCATGCGCCTGTGCGAGAGCGAAGGGCGCGTCTTTGACGTCCAGATCGACGCGCAGCGCCTGCTCAGCGCCGGCGAGGACAGCATGGTGTACGTCACCGACTTTGCGCACGGCGAGCCGCTCATGCGCCTGTTTAGCTGAGCGCGGCGGCGCGCCACGGACACGCAATGTATTTATATAGAGAGGGGTCTTGTGTGAGGGCCATGAGCCAGGTCGAGCTCGGCAAGCAGGCACAGGCGTCCGCCGCCACCAGGGGATCGTCAGAGGCAAAAAGATAGAGCCCGACCGGGATCGAACCGATGATCTTCAGCGTCGACTGATAAAACCGAAAACTGACGCGCTAGCCACTGCGCTACGGGCCCTCAAGTTTCAGCGCTGTCCCGGGACTGAATATGAACCAAAGAGCAGACGTCAGCCACTCCCCTCCTTTGTCCTGCGCACGGCGGCGCGCGGCTCCCCTTGTCCTCGCGGCACAACCCCTGGGCAACGCATGCCCGAGCGCATCGGCGCCTCATCAAGCGAGCGTTGCCGCGTGCTCCGCTGCCGTGTGCTCTTCGCTCCCGACCACCACCACCCAGTCCGCCATGCCCAGCAGCACCACGTCAGCCGCGCCCTCCCGGGGCCAAGGCGCCTCCGAGCCCGCGGGCGCTTCGCCTCAAGGCACCAGCGAGGCCTTCCGCAAGCACTTCGCCGCCCAGCTGCCGGTCCTGCTACGCAACGAGCTGCTCCACCTGCGCGAGGCACTCATCGGCAGCGCGGCACTCATCCTGCACATCAGCCTCGGCTGGACGCCCGAGGACCTGCGCGAGGCGCTGCCCGACGCCGACAAGCTGCGCCAGCAGCTCGCCGAGTGCGTGCCGTACGTCGTCTCGATGGCCGCCGGCGCCGCCGCCCTCGCCGTGCAGCGCAAGGAGGTTCCGCCTGCGCAGCCGGCACACGAGGCTGGGCCGAGCTCCTCCTCGCCGCGCCTCGACGCGCCCAAGGAGCTGCCGCAGCTGACCTACGACGCGCTCTGGGACTACATCGCCGCGCAGCGCAAGAACGGCAGCCTCGTCGACGACCCGGCGTGGGTCGACGGCACCAAGGCCAAGCACAAGATGACGTCGCGCGTGCAGGCAAGTCTCAACGCCCTGGAGAAGGACTTTGGTGAGTGAGCCTCGAGCGACCACTTGCAACAGCGCTGACCACCGCTGCAGCCGCTGCCGCGCTGCCGCTGCTCGCCGTGCCCGCGCTGCGCCGCGCCATCGAGGCGCTCAGCGAGCCTCTGACGGCGGAGTTCCTCGCGTCGGCTCTGCAGTCGCTCGAGCCGTTCCCACTCGATGTGCACGCCGGCCCGCAGCCGCTCGAGCCCAAGGCGCCGTCGCTCGAGCACGCCGAGGCGCTCCTCACGCACGGCATCCGGCTCAGCCGGCGCATGCAGGCCGCCGCCAGCCTGCGGGCCAGCCGCCTGGCCAAAGAGATCGGGAAGCGCTGCGCTGGCCGCACCGGGATGGCTCGCGCATGGCACGCCGCCGCCGTCGCCTTTCCCGGCTCGCGCGTCGACAACAAGGAGCAGGTCACGGCGCACATGTCTGCGGCGCATGCGTGGAACACCGCAGCCTTGCCGGACCTCGACGGCATCGAGGCAGGCGCGGCAAGCAACGCCGCTCTGACCAAGTACTTTGGCGCCATGGACAAGGAAGGGTGAGCCGGAGCGCCGAGCGTACTTCCGTCGCCAGCGGCTGACCATCTGTCAGCGCCATTGCGTACGAGCAGCACTTCCGGCAGGCCATCGTGAGCGTCGACCGCGCGCTCACGGCGCTGCGCGATCTCTCCGCCGTGCCGGCGCCGCTCTCGCTCGCGGCCCACCGCGCACGCGTCGCAGCGGGCGCAGCCAGCGGACCGGCAACGGGCACCTCCAGCCAGGCGACTGCGACGCCTGCCGCCGTGCCGGAGGACGAGTGGACGCGGCAGGTCAAGTTCCGATGCCATCGGCGCCGCGCCGACGCAGGCCACCACCTCGCCGCGTTCAAGTGGAAGTGCCCGCTCTTCGGCGAGCCGAAGCGCAGTGCCATTCTCCCGCTCGCCGCCAATGCGGTGCAAGGTGCGCTGGCGACAGCGTCCGGTGCCTGCGTCGAGTCCGCTGACGCTTGCTCCGATAGACCTTGAGCTCGCACTGGCGTATGCTGCCACGCCGGGCCAGAAGCGTGCCATACAGACGGAGCTCGTGCAGGCTCAAAAGACGCTCGGGCACATCGAGGACGGAACGGGCTGGTGGCTGCGGGCGCCGGGCGCAGGCTGGTGGGACCGCGTGTCCAGCTCAGGCTGAGCGTGCGCATGATAATGATAGCTACTTGGTCCGAGCTGGGTATCGCGATGAGGTTGGCTATGCTACAGAGGTGTGAAGCTCGACACGGCAGACGTCAGTCCGGTGTGTGGCGCTGCCGACGAAGACGAGTGCGTCGCAAAGTGCACGCTGCGTCTGCTGTGCGCCGTGCCGAGCAGCGGCGCAGTAGATACGCGCACGATGCGGCTGGGCGGCATGGCCTCGATGCCGCGGAGCGCCCATGCTAGATGCTTGAGCTTTCGCTCCGCTGCTGACGTGCCGCCCGGGTATGCAGCAAGGACTGCAGCGAGGGCGGTCTGGAAGGGAAAGATCTCGAGCGCGAGAGTCGCCCGCACCTGTGCCGAGCGCGCTGCGAGGCCGAGTACCTGGCTGGCCTCGCCAGCGCGCGACATGAGACTGTCGAGCATGTCTTGGCGTGCCGGCGGGCAAGCGAGGGCCTCTTGCAGGGCGAGCAGGTCGGCGCGGAGCTGCTCAGCGAGCGCAGCAGTGCTGACACCCGGAACGGGCTTGCCGGCGGAGAGAAGAGACAGTAGCTTCTTGTACGTGACGGGCTCGGTCCTCAACCGAGACAGGGACGCTTCGCTCGCAGAAGCGCTGCGCCGGGGCCGCTTGACGGCCTCGCCATCGTTGGCTGGTGCGGCGCGCTTGGCCGATGCCTGGCGTGTGCTGACGGATGCGACAAGACTCGTGGCTGCGCTCGGTTCTGGCTCGGGACAGGCTTGCTCGTTCGGCGGCGTAGGAGGCAGCTCGACGAGCGGCTGCCGAGGCGCCTCGGCCGGCTCGATGAGGCGGCGCGGGCGATACAGGCCGACACCGTCGCCAAGCGTCGAGACGACGATCACGTCCCTCGAAGCGACCGGGAGACGCTGCGGCGGCAGCCAGGTGACAGTGGGCTGAGGCTCAGATGGCGGCTCGAGCCGCCGCACCTTGTCCGCTTTGCTCCAAGGCAGCGGCACAGTGCCATGCTCGGCGTGCACCGCCTCCTCGACCTCGCGGGCCAGCTCCGGCTTTTTCTTGCGCACCGCGCGCCACGCGCGCGCCTGCGTCCACGCTGGGCTCTTCTGGATCCGCCAGCCAAGGCACATGTCGGCGTAGTGCAGGTAGCGCGAAGCGAGGATCTCGTCGAGGCCAGAAGGGGCGAGTGCTGGCAGGCGCGGAGGCGGCGGCGGCGGTCTGACGAAGGCGAGCGGCGGCGCCATCGATCTGTCCGCGACAGTGGTCATGTCCGTCGCGCTGGGCATGCCGCTCGCGACGATGCCGCTCGCATCCGCCTCGTAGCCGTCTGCATCGTCGCCCACCACCAGCAGTGACTCTGGCTGGCTGACGTCGTCGGAACGGTGGCGCATGCGGTCCTTCTCGCGCTCGTACGCCGCGTCTGCATCGGCCGGCAGCTGGCGCTCGGCGAGAAAGAGGCGGCGGGCACGTCCGTGGAAGCGCTGCAGCTCTTCGGCGACGGCTTCCTCCTGCTCCACCGGCACTACGCCGGGCAGAGCTGCGACGCTGCCCTTGCACGTCGCGGCAGCCCAGGCCTGCGAATAGACACGCCAGAGCGCCTCGCCGAGGGCACCACGCGCGTCCTCTGCTGTAGCCTCGGCGCCTCCTGGCGCCAGCACTGCGCCAAACGTCTTGGCCATGAGGAACCAATGCTGCAGCGTGCCGGTGTTGGGCGTGACGCGCAGCGGCCGAAAGGCAGCGACAAAGGAGCGGATCTCTGGCAGCGGGCTGTGCCGCTCGTACGGCACGCCAAAATAGCGCGGCCAGGCCCGCTTGCCGGCTGCAGCGCCGGCGAGGCTCATCTCGATGTCGGCGCGTGCCCGGGCCCAGCCGCGCGCTGTGCTGATGCGCCCGTCGCCCAGCTTGATCTCGACAATGAGCGGGCGCGGCGAGTCCGAGAGCGAAGGCTCCGCAAAGGTGTCGATGAGCGCACAGCGTGCCGTCTTCTCGCAGGCATGAAAGCGCACGGCCTCGTGCGCTTCCTGCGTGACAATGTCCGGCAGGTGCGCGTCGGCGTCGCTGCTCGCCTCGTACACGCCGTGCTTGTAGCGGTCGACGTGCACCTTGCTCTTGAACTCGCGGCGGATGGCATGGATGAGCTCCTCGTAGCCCCAGCACCAGGCATCGAGAAAGAAGCGCGTGCAGGCCGGGAAGCGGCGCATGATGGAGAGCATGTCGCGCGTCGCGTCCGCCTTTGTGACGGGCGAGAAGGCGCAGCTGAATGCCTCGTCGTCGATGTAGATATTGCGCAGCGGGCCGTACGCGGCGTGGAACTCCAGCATGCCATCGCCCTGCGTCGACTCCAAGGAAGCGGCGTTGCTCTCGCGCTTCCACACGGCAGCTTGCGGCGTCGGCGTGCGCGGCGTCGAGGCAGACGGCGCCGGCGAGGCCGAGACGCGCTGGGCGGCAATGTAGGGGCGCAGCAGCGGCTCGCGCACCAGCGCCTCGACGTACCACGGCTCGGCGCGCAGGTCGCCCGTGTGGATCACAGCGCCGCGCTCGCCCTCGACGAGGAAGATGACGCCGCCGGGCATGTGGTTCGAGTCGAGGAGCGTGAGGCGCACCTGCATGCGCCCTGCGTACGGCACGAGCGTCGGCGTGTGCAGCGGCAGCGCCACGAGCAGGTCGCGGCCGCGCCCCGAGCCGCCGGCGCGCTCACCGCGCACGCGCGCCTGCTGTGCCGTCTCGCAGAGGCTGCGGTACGGGCGCACGACGTCGCCGGCGCCGGCGATGTGCTCGGCACGCGTGCGCACGCGCTCGTAGCGCAGCAGCTGGGCGCGCGCGCTGGGCGAGCAGTAGATGGGCGCCGCATCGTGCCCGCGCTGCTCCAGCCCGCAGAGGTGGTCGGAGTGCATGTGCGTGAGGAGGAAGAAGGCGGGCGCGGCGAAGTGCGTGGCGCCGAGCGGCAGGTCGGCGCGCGCCGAGGCGGGCAGCGAGGCGGGCAGCGGCACGGGCGCGGCGGTGAAGCGGTCGACGCGGATGAGCGGATACTCGGCCAGGAAGCCGGACGTCGACGGCGCCATGGTGCGATGCGCCGCTCACGCCGCAGCCGCTGCGAGGCGCAGAGGCAGTGCGAGGCGGGCGGCGGGTGCGAGAAGCGCCAGGTGGTGGAGGTGCGGAGGCAAGCCGCGTCGCGAGGGCGAGAAGGGAGTCAGCGTGTCGCGTAGAGAGGCCGACTACAAGTTTGCTAGGTGCGGCAATACAAGAATAGCCGGCGGCAACCTGTATTCGCGCCCAGGCGTGGGAACACAACACCAACGGCCCGGACCGCCACTGGGCCGTTGGGCAAAGTCGCCTGAGCCGGACCAGACAAAGCCGCTGCTGCAGCGCCGGAAGATGCCTGAGATGGAGCAGCAGGCTTGGCGGCGAGTGACTTGGCGTGCGGCAGCGAACCGGAGCGGCGGCGAGCGGCGAGGCGGCGCCCGACACGCCCGGTGCGCCAGCTCGCCCGCCCCTGAGCAGTAAGAGTGCGCTGCTGCAGCGCTGCGGCGTTCTGGCGCGCTACCTGGCGCTTGGATCTCGCCGCACACCGCTCAACGGCTGCGTCACTCGCAGGCGGCTGCGGCACAGCAGGCGACTCCCGCTCGTCGTCACCTGCGGCGTCCTCGGCAACGGCGCCCACCGGCTGCTCCGCTCTCCCTCCGTCCACCAGCACCGCCGCGGGCCTCAGCATCGGGTCGTGTGGCCCTCGTCGAGCGCGGCCGGCGATTTGCGATCCCGACCGCCACCATCTCCGCGCCCTCTCCCTCCTCAAGCGATGCTGCTCCTCCCGCTGCTGCTCCTCTTTCTCTTCGGCACGCTGCCGGCGCTGGCGCAGGACGGCGCCCGGCTGCGGCGGCACCACGCGCGCGCGGCCGCCGTGCGGCTGCTCAACGTCGAGAGCGGGCACGACGGAGCTGCTGGCCAGCATGCGCAGGGCGGACAGAGCAGGAGCGATGTCAGCTCGGGCGATGGCGACGAGCGCTTCACGACGCAGCCTGCCGCCGGCGCGGCGCAGCGGCGCGACCACGCCTTCAGTGGGCGCGGCACGTATGTGAGTCGCGCATCGTGCACCTCTGCGCCGCACATCCTCTGACAGGAGGGCGCAGTACCGGCCTGACCTCGGTGCCTGCGGCTGGCGCAACGACCCAAACGATCACGTCGTCGCACTCGGCGCCCGGCAGTTTGCCCATGGCTCGCGCTGTGGGCACCGCATCCGCGGTGAGTGACGTGGGCGTCGCATGCTGTGGCTCCGAGCGCTGATGTCGAGCATCTGCAGTCTGCCACGAGGGCAACTGCATCTCCGTCCAGGTGGTCGATCGCTGCGAGTCGTGCGGTGAGTGAGCTCTGTACCGCGCTGCCGGCAGCCGTTGCTCACTATCCTGCGCTAGACTTTGGCTCGCTGGACATGTCGCCGTCGGCCTTTGCACGCCTCGCGCCGAAGAGCGAGGGCGTCATCAGCATTGCGTGAGTGCGCCGACGCGGGAAAGGAAGACCGCCTGGCTGACACTTGCCGTCTGCAGCTGGGACTACACTTCTGACGACTGACGGCCTCGACGAACAAACAAACACGCCACGAAGCACTCGCGCCCCACTCCCATGTCTCTCACGCCCCGCATAATCTGTCGCCCCTTCGCCTTCTGCCCACCTGCACTTACTGCTCATGCCTGCTCACCCACTACTGACACTGCCCGCGCCGCTGCCTGCTCCGGCCATGCCCTCATTGCTCGTCTAATTCACACTTGTTCGCCCCCGGCATCGCCGCGTGACGACCGCCGTGTGACGCTGCACATAGTCTATTGCCCTCGCATCGAACCCCAGAAGCCACGTCTCAGAATCCCCAGGCGCCCGGCGGCGCCGCGCTGCCTTGCTGCTGCTGCGCGGACGGCGTGCGTCGCCGCGGCTCGTAGCCGCCTCCAGCTGGTGCCGGCGGCGCTGGCGGCGACGAGCTGTGATGTGAGCCGCTCTCTCGCGCTGCTGCGGCCTCGGAACCAAAGCCGCCAGGCGTCGGCGGTGCGCTGAAGGAACTCGCGCTGGCAGAACGAGCGGGACGAAGCATTGGCCGCACCTGCAGGGAGTGTCAGCTCAGTTTCCGCGCACGCGGGCTCTCGACTCACCAGCTCGGTGAAGAGCGGCACCATCTCGGGCAGCACGACGAGCGTCGGCGCCTTTGGCGGGCGCGGCTTGCGTGCGGGCGTCTGCGGCGCGGTGTCCGCTGGTGGCAGCTCCGGCAGCTCCTTGTCCGGGCGCGCCGTCAGCTGCGAGAAGCTGCGGCCAGGCGGTGGTGGCCGCCAGCGCGACACGCCGGCGTCGGGTGCGTGCTGCGCCTCGCTGCCGGCGTCTGACTCGCTCGTCTCGTCGAACGAGGCGCGGGCGTCGTCGAAGCGATCCTCGCGCTCGTCATTCTCTTCGTCGCTGCCCTCCTCGTCCTCGAGGTCCGCCTCGACATCCTCCATCTCGCCGGTGAATGCGTTGCCGACGCCGAGATTGTCCACCATCGCTGCGACGAACGCCTGATCGTCGAGCTCGCTGCTGCCCATCAGCTTGCCGGCGGCGCCCTCGACCTCCTTGTTCGCCAGGCGCCGGCTGAGCTTGAGCTCGCGCACCATCTTGACGCGGTACGCGTGTACAATCACTGCATCAATCTCGGCGAGGGCCGCGCGCCGCTCAGCGCCGCCGGCAGGCATGCAGATCTCGAGGTCAACCTGGCCGAGACCACGCCGCTGCTCCTCGCTGCCGACGCCGTCGGCCCCGCGCACAAAGTTGATGAAGAGCTCAATCCAGTGCATGAGGCCGTCGAAGAGGCCCGAGCCCTTGGAGTGCACCTCGTGCACAAAGTGGTAGAAGCGCCCCTCGTGGCGCTGCACGAGGTCGATGAAGACCTGCACGGTGCGCTGCGGGTCCGTGTAGCTGAGCTCCTCGCTGCTCTCGACGGTGCGGATGAGGTCCGTGATGAAGGCCTGCAGGTCGCTCAGGCTGTCGGCGATGTTCGCCGCCTTGTACACCTGCGCCAGCGGCGAGTAGAAGATCGTGACGATGTCCTTGAGCAGCTCCGAGGTGACGCCCTCGAACACGAGGCTGATCATCTGCTCCTTGTCGCGCAGGCGCGTCATGCAGCGCAGGTACACGTGCAGGTCTTCGTACAGCCACGCCTCGGCGTCGACGGCGTCCGGGCCCTGGTCCTCCTCGCCGCGGCCCAGGTTGGCGCGGTACTCCTTGTACAGCTCGTACGCGCGGCTGGCGCGCACGACGCGGTGCACCTGCGGGCGCGCCAGCGGCGGCGTGCCCTCCGGCGGCGAGCGCAGGATGACGGTGAGCATGTCGAGGCGCTCGGCGCGTGCCTGCCGCTTGAGCGCGCTCTGGTACTCGTGCGGCGAGTGCACAAAGGCACGCACGCGCTCGCACAGGTCGTCGTCCTCGATCTTGGCGCGCACGCCGAGCGCCATCGTCTCGAGCTCCTTGACCTCCTCTTGCAGGCTCGACGTGAACATGCGCTGCAGCAGCGACGTCTGGCCGAACGGGCGCGCCAGGAAGAGGTCGAGCACGCTGCGCACCATGTACACGGGATTCGAGATGCGCAGAATGCCGCGCAGCATGAAGTACGGCATGAGGCCGTGGATGCGCTTCAGCTGGCCGAAGAGGTCCGACGACGTGTCCGAGCCCATGAAGAGGTGGAAGAGCGTCGAGGCCGCCGAGATGCGGCCCCACGCCAGCAGCGCGCGGTAGCTCTCCGGCAGGTCCTCGATGAGCGGTGTGCGCTTGATCGTGCCGAACACCTGCGAGAGGCCGTCGCGCTGCACGAGCTGCGCCTTGAACTCGGCGATGTGCTCGCGCAGCTCGCCGACGCGCCGCGACGCCTCGGCGGCGAAGCGGCCTGCCTCATCCTCGCGCACGGCGTCGAGCGCCTCGCGCGCCGTAATGTCGGCCTCCTCGTCGGGCGTCAGGCGCGTCGGCTCGCCGAGCAGGAAGTCCGAAAGCGCTCCCGAGTCGGCCACCGAGGGAATCGCCAGCAGCGAGCGCACGTAGGCGCGCAGCGTGAGGCGGTTCTTCTCGCGCGCCAGCGGCGCCCCCGGGTGCGGCGCCGACGTGCCGATGTGCAGGTCGGCGAGCTGCTGCTCCGGCGAGCCGTTCTGCGCCTCGTGCTGGCCCATGCTCTGCGTGCCGGCCCACTGCGTGCCGCGGCGGTCCTTGGCCGGCGGGCGCCCGAGGTCCTCGCCCGGGAACTCGACGCGCAGCGTGTCGGCCAGCCGCGCAAAGTCGCCGTAGCGGCGGCTGACATAGACGTCGGGCATGCCCTCGCGCCGCGTACGCAGCAGGAACTCGTCGTGCGTGCGCGTGCGCGCCAGGCGGCCCGCCTTGGTCGACACGCTGCGCACGCCGACGACGTTGACGTCGAAGCCCGTGTCGGGCGGCGGCGCACCGGCGAGCGCTGCGCGCATGCGAGCCTGCGCCGCCGTCATGCGCTCGCGGTCCGCCGGCGCGATGCTGAGGATCTCCTCGGCGCTGTTGGCGTGGATGGCGGCGCCCATGAGCAGCGTGACCCACTTGCCGATCTTGGTACCGAGGCGCGTGCGCTTCGACACCTCGCCTTCCTCGGGCGTCGTGCCGCTGATGTTGCGCTCGAGGAAGCGCGAGACGAAGACCTGCACCTTGTCGCCCCAGAAGTTGGCGGGCGCCGAGCGCAGGAAGGGAAAGGTGAGGATGAAGTGGTGGAAGAGAAAGCGCAGCACGGGCACGTCGGCGCGCGACACGCTCGCCGAGGCGTGAAAGGGCGGCCCAAAGGTGGAGAGCGCATCTGATGGATGCATGGTCAGCAAGAGCGGCGAGGCTCGGGATGTCGAGGGGCCATGCATGCGCTCTTCGAGCCGCGCAGAGGCTGCTGCATGCGCTGGAAGCACATGTCCACCCGATACATGCACAAGCAGAGCCACACGCCCACGGCAGCAGCACTGCTGGATGCCTGCGCCGTTGCTCGGAGCAGCGGCACCTCTCGCCAGGATCTGACCGAAGCGCAGGTCGCAGTGCAGCTCTTCGCCCGCGCCTGGCTCTCCCATCGCACCTGGCCACTCACCCTTCTGGCTGAGGCTCTTGATCTCGCGCTCGACCTGCAGCGAGAGGAGCGTCTTCTTGAGGTAGTGGGCGCGCAGCGGCGTGAGGCGCATGTCGTCGGGCCCGTCGCGCAGGCGCGGGATGCGTGCGGCGACGCCCGCCGCCGAGTCGTCGGCGCCGGCGCTGGGCGGCGGCGGCGCGAGCGACGTGCCGGCGTGGGCAAAGGCCGCATCGATGCTGCCGGACGCGGACATGGCCGCGGAAGAGGCCTGTGAGAGGCGCGGCGGGTGGGTGGATGGATCGGTGACGGCGAGGATGAGGAGCACAGGCAGGAGCAGCGCGGGCGCCAAGTCAAGGGCCCGGCGTCAGCACGCCAGCGGCCAAAGGCAAGCCGCCTTCACGCTGCCGCTGCCGTGCGCCTTGTGGAGGCGTGCCTTGCCGCGGCCGGCATCGCGCATCTCGCATCACGCGTCACCGCACGCAATCCCGAACGTGCGCCGCCTCGTGCGCGCCGCCCCGATGCCGCTGGGGCGCAGCACAGTGCCGACCCTCGCAGACGCCGTCAGGGGGCAGGAGAGGTGGTGTCGAAAAGGTTGCGAGCGGATGGGCTGGATGCCGCGAGCGCGACTCTTCCGACGCTCAAATGTGTTGCGGTGGTGCTGAGCGCTCGGCAGGCTGCGCGGCTTCGACGCCTTCCCTTCCGTTGTTGGGGGCGTGGTGACACCCAAGCGGCGCCTCTCACATGGCTCCTCGTTGCATCTCGCGAGCGCAGACCTGAGCAGAGGCCAGCTGTGTACCCTCTCGCGTGATTTTGGGGGCAATCTGAACAGCGCCCGAGCGCTCTGAGCGCAGCCAAAGGCCAGGTAAGCGAGCTCGTCACCCTGCCACCAAGCTCCGAGCCGCGCGCCCAACTCCTGGGTCTGTCCTCGCGACATGGTCTGTGCGCATTCGCTCTTTGCCACGTGGGCCCGACGCTGCGGCGAAAGCGAGCGGTCGAGCGACGTCGCCTTCACTCTTGTCGCCGAGCTGCTGCTGCGCCACGCCTAGCCGCAGCGGCGGCCCGACGGGGCAGGTCCGGGGCCTGAGATGGCGCAGCAACGGACGCCTGCGCGCGGCGCCGCAGCGCGAAGGCGCCAAGCGCGCGCAGGCCGTCGAGGCCCAGCGCGGCACGGCATCTCGGCGGTGCATCGAGGCAGAATGCAGCGGTGCAGGACATGCGATGATGCTGCGCTTGCATGCTGTGAGCTGCTGCTGTGCCGAGGTGCTGCAGACGATGGAGAGGGTGCGCTCGAGGCTGCCGAGGTGCCGCTTCGGAGGGATGCATCCTTGGGCGCGGCGCGCGAATCCAACGGCCCGTCCGTTGTGCTGCCTCCGACGCGTCGTGCGCCGCACCTTCCTCGCACTTGCCTCGCCTCCGAGGGCGCCGCATCGCCGTCTCGCCGAGTGCCTCACGGCCCGACGCTGAGCTTGAGCGGCGGAGCTGCGGCGCATGGCACAAGGGACGATGCAGGAGAGGATGTCTGCGGCGACGGGCACTGCCGTCTGGCGCCGCAAGCTGCACGGGGTGTAGAGCCTCCGCCAACGCGCCCTGCCAGCCCTCGGTGTGCGTGGCCTTCATCTGCCCTGCGCAGGCTTGCTCGCCTCTTGTCTCCTCGCCACGTCCTCACTCCTGCGTGCCAACCCCTTTCCGGCCTCTTCTCCTTCTCCTTCGTCGTTGAACCTCGCTGTGCGAGTGTTTCCATCCCTGGCGGCGCCTCTTCTTCTTCGTGCCTCACTCGCTCTCTCGCGTGTGTGTTCCATCTTTGCCTCTCCCCACATCGTCTTGCCGGCCAAGATGATCGCTCCTTCCCCTCCTCCTGCCGCACTGGTGCCGCTCAACACGGCCCCGGCGGCCAAGCCGACGATCTCGCACCGGCGCTCGCGGCACGGCGTGCTCCACGGCACGCGCCGCAATGCCCGCGGTGCGGCGCTCGCGCTCCTCCTCCTGACGCCCCTCGCCACAGCCCTGGATGTAGGAAGCGGCAGCGAGCTGGGCTCAACACCGGCTGAGGCTCGTCTGGCGTCGATCTTCGCGCTCGGCGGCCGCTCGTCGCACCCGCTGGCCCGGCGCCAGGCGGCGGCGCACGGCGGCCTGCCCGGGCCCTTGCACTACGTCCCGCTCGCCCACGCCGCCGACGCGCTGGGCAAGCGCCAGACGCCCAATGCGGCACGGCCTGTACCTATCCCTGACGACGAGGCCAACGACAACCGCTTCGACACGTCCACCGTCGCCGTCGTCTCCTCGGCGGTGCGTGCCACCTCGGTAGCTGCGCCGACGCAGCGCGTGCCGCCGTCGAGCGCTGCTGCCTCGCAGACGCGTGTCAACCTCGCCGCCTCGGACACGCCCTCGTCGTCCGTATCGTCGTCTGCGGCATCGAGCAGCAGCACTACCAGCAGCGCAAGCAGCTCGTCATCCTCGTCTGCATCGTCCGCACGCCACAGCGCCAAGGCCTCGGCCACGTCGTCCAGCACGCCGAGCGCTCCCAGCGGCGACTTGCTGCACGGGCCCAACGCCAAGTTCGTCATTGCCGGCATTGCCGTCGGCGGCCTCGTCGCACTCTTCGTCCTCATGGTGCTCATCCGCTCGTGCACGCACGCCGCCATGCGCCGCGCCGCCGTGCGCGAGGCGCTGCACGGGCCCAAGGCTGAGAAGCTAACGTCCGACGCGCCGCTGCGCAACGGCCGCTCGCTGCGCCGCGCCCTCACACGCCGCCTGCTCGAGGGCAGCATCAAGCGCCGCGAGCGCGAGGGCACCGTGCTGCTCGATGTCGGGCAGGACGTGCTGGCCGTGCCGGCGCGCGTGGCGCAGGAGTACGAGCGCGAGCGTGCGGCGCACTGGGCTGCGGCGCACGCTGTCGCTGGACCGGGCCGCCGCATGCCATTCGAGCCGCAGCTGGCGCTTGCGCGGGCCCGCGCCCGTGTCGAGCAGGCGGCACTCGCCGAGGCCGGCGGGCGTGCAGCGCCGGAGAGCACCAACGTCGGCCAGTGGCGCGCCAGCCTCGTCGACGAGAAGCACGAGGCGGCGCCGCCGGTGCCGCAGCGCAGCCAAAGCATCAGCCAGCGCCTCGCCGCCGGGCTGCGTGGCCTCGGCGGCCGCTCGCGCCCCGACGGCGAGACCATCGACGAGGAGGCGCCGCGCTCGGCGGCACGCATCGCGCCGGGCATGCCGGGGCACGAGCTGAAGAAGCAGCGCTCCTTCGACTCGGACTCGTCTGGCGCCTCGTGTGCCGAGGTGCTGCAGGGCGACGCCAGCTGGACGATTGCACCGCGCGCCGACGCCGCCGAGGCAGGCATCGTCGACCAGGAGCGTGCGCTGCGTATCCGGCCGGACGCGGCCCTCTCGCACCCGCGCATTTCCCTCTCCGATGGCCCTGCGCCGGCGCCGGTGCCGAAGCTCGGCCGCAGCAAGACGCGCGGCGGCTCGTACCGCCACAAGGCGGCGCAGCCGATCCCCGCCTCGAGCCCGGCCATGGCCATTGCGGCGCGCATCAACAGCAGCACCAAAATGGGCTCGCCACGCCTGATGCAGGAGCGCTCGCAGCCGCCGCTGCCGCACGTCACGCCGCGCCCCGAGAAGCCGGCGCCGGCGCGCACTGAGCGCGAGGGCAACCCGCTGCCGCTGCCGCCCAAGATCAGCCCGTAGGCTGCGTGTTCCGTCACCCTAGCAATAGCATAATCCCTCTATTCACCTAGTCCCAGTCGTCGTCGCCTGTGCTCGCCTTGGCCGCGTAGCCGAGGATGGCGCGCTGGTCCTGCTGTTTTGCCCGTGGCGTCAAGACGCCTAGCCGCAGCGTCAGCCGCAGCGCCGTAGCTCAATGCATCCTACTCACCTGCTCGCCCCAAGCGCCACTCCAGCACGCCCGTGCCAAACTCATCCTTGTTGCCCAGGTCCTCGAAGCCGACGATGCGGTCCTTGACCTGGCCGGCGGCGCCGAAGATGACGAGGCACGGCAGCGTCTGGATCGAGAGCTTCTGCACGAGAAACGGCGCATTGAGCACCGAGATGCGCAGGAAGAGCGTCTTGCCGTGCAGCGGCGCCAGGAACTGGAGATAGTGTCAGTCAGGCGCAGTGCGAAGAGTAGGAGCAGCGAGGGGTGCGCCGTCGAGACTTCAGAGAGGAGATGCGCCAGCGCCAATGGTGCCCGGCGAGTATTGCGATCACTCGCCAGCTCCAGATGCCCAGATGAAGCTCGCTGCGCCGAGGCGTGGCCCAGCTTGCCAGGTCTAGCAGCAGAGATACTTCGCTCTTACAGCCAAACCCAGATGCAGCGCTGCACACATCGCCTAGTCCACGCTTTGCTGCGCCTCTGTTCCCTCAGCCACCGCTGCCCCGCCTCCGCCTGCCCCTCCCTCGCCTCTGTCACGCCCCGCCTCCCGCCCGCACGCACCTCGAGATGCCGGTCGACGATCTTGCAGCGGCGAAAGTCGGCCTTGTAGAAGTGCACGACGACGCCGTCGTTCTCCTCGAGCAGGCGGATGAGCGCCTTTTCCGTCGGCGGCTCGCTGTAGCGGCCGTGCTCGGCGGAGAGTGTCGCTAGTTGCTGGCGCAGGGCGGCGCTGCGGACAGACGTCAGTGCTGCGCAGAGAGAAGAGCAGTGCAAAGACGGCGGCAAGGGTGCTGGACACTCTCTCTTGTGCTACTCAGCGGACAGAGCAGCACTCCACGACTGCCCTGACCCGCTCTGTTCCTGCTCGACCAGCCCTGCTGCCCTGGCCCCTCGCCGCACTGCCCCACGCTGCCCCTCACCCGCACCCACACGCACCTCTCGCGCATCTCGCGCATGCGGCGCTCGCGCCACTCGCCGCCGACGCCGTCGAGCTCGTCCTCGAGCTGCTCGAAGAGCTCGCCGTCGCTGTCGTCGTCGTCGTGCTCGGCACGCGCGTCCTCTGCGCCGCGTGCGTGGATCGACGAGACGATGTGGGCGTGTGCGTCGCTGCTGCTGCTGCTGGAGGCGAAGGAGGGGTGGTACGAGGGTCCAGGCAGCGAGACCGGCGGCTCTGGAATGGGCAGCGACATGGCGGAGTGGTGCGGGTGTTGGAGTCGAGAAGCACACGCTGCAGGACGCAGGATCGGCAAGGCAGCGCTGCACGAGCTTAGCGCTTCCCGACGCGGCGCGTGACACGCGTCAAGTGCGCCGCCGCACGCCGCGCCTTCCTTCCGCACCAACACCTCCTCCTTCAAGCAACAGCACGCAAGGCTCCGCCCTCCACACCCGCCCGCGCCATGTTCGGCGACGAGGCGCTGCAGCTCGTGCACGAGGCACGTGCCGCCGACGCCACTGGTCTGCTGCGTCCGTACAAGTGCGTGGGTGGTGTGGGCACGCGGCGGCAGAGGCGGGGCAGGGCGCGGCAGTGCCCAAGGCGAGGCATGGCGGCACAGCGGACAGGCGGGAGCAGGTGCAGTGCTGCCGCGACGGTGCTGCCTGCGAGTAGCGCTGGCACTGCTGCGGTCAAGCGAGGCAGAGAGACGAGCAGATCTGCTCCTGCGAGGAGCGGCGGCGATGCCCGCCGGCCAGGAGCGGCCCCTGTCGCATCGCGCTTCTGAGCCGGGCGGCGGCACGGATGATGAGTGTTCTTCGCTACCTCTCATGCTGATTCTGCTTCCGCAGTGACGAGCGTGTCCGTCTCGTGCTGCTCGAGACTCGCCAGCTGCAGGCGCACTCCGACGCCGTCATCTCGTCGTACCCCGGCGGGCGCGCGACGGCTCTCGAGGCCGCCGGCGGCGACGACGCCGGCCTCAGTGCCCAGCTGCTTGTGCACCACCTCGCCGCCGCGCGCAATAAGCGCTGCCTGCTCGCCTACCACGCACACCGCCTCGCCTGGCTGCGCGAGCGGCTGTGGGCCGCCGGCGGCAGTGCGCCGCAGGTGCTGGCCGAGGACGAGGAGACGGAGCAGGGCGCGCTGCGTGCGCGCCTGGCGCCCGCCGAGCTGGCGGCGTTGAAGGGCTACGCCGAGCTGCTGCGCGGCTTCAAGGCCGTCTTCGCCGACGTCGTCGACATTGCCGCGCCGCTGCACCGCGCCGGCACGCACGACGTTGCGCCGCCCGCCGAGCTCATGGTCTGCGTCGTGGCGCGCCGCGACGCGCGCGACGTCCTCACTGCCCGCGGCTCGCTCAATCTGCGCCGCGGCGAGCGCATGCGCGTCGCCCGCGCCGAGGTCGAGCATCTCATCGTGCGCGGCTGGCTCGCCGTCGTCGACGAGTAGACAGAGCAGGAGGGCGAAGCGGCAGTCACACAGATGTATCATAGCAAGCATCTCATCAGCACCTCTTCCTTTCACGACGGTCCGTTGGTCACGGCATTCATAGCGTCGCGCCGGCCCCTGTCTCAGCCTCGCGATCTTGTCGCTCGGGTCAGAGCGGCGCGTGGAGTCAAGCGATCGGTCGATGGCGGCGGTCTGCGGCAAATGGTGCGAGAGCACACTACTAGCGAGCAGGAAGCTCGCGCCCGCGCGCGTGCGATAGAAGACGACCAAGGTGCACACCGCTCCTAGTCAAGGTGGAGCTGAAGGGCTCGGCACAGAAATTGCAGTGTCGATCGAAGCGTGAGGATCGAAATGAAGAGGGAAAGGACATTACACGTGCGCAAGTTCCACTGGGGGCTCCCAGCTGCTCATGTGCCCGGCCTCGCTCTGGCGCCGTCCGCTTGCTTGACGCTATCAGTCGGCGCCTATACACAGGCTGCGTTGCGGCTATAAGCCCCCCTCTTCGTCGCGCACCTCCGTATACTCGCACTCCCATCATCGCAACTCTTCGCCTCAACGATGCCGAAGCGCCAGGAGCCAGACGTGAAGCGCGAGAAGCCAGACGTGAAACGCGAGACACCAGACGCGAAGCGCGAGCAGCGAGACGCGAAGCGCAAGAAGCGAGACCTTCACCAAGAGTTGACCGATCATGTCATCGCGCTGCTCCGCAGCAAGCGCACGCTATGGTCCGTGCCCTGGGCTGGCACCCTGGTCGGTCTGCCGCAGCAACACGACGGTACGTACTACGACGGCGACAACGCTATGGAATTGTGGGCCGAGGCAAAACGTCGGCAGTACCGCAGTCCAGTTTGGCTCACCAAGAAACGTGCCAAGAAGCTGGGAGGAGAGCTTTGTGAGGACGAAGAGCAGAACGGCACGGTGGTCGAGTACTGGCACCGCCTCCATGCGCACGGCCTCGATGACGAAGACAGCTGCGTCGTCGATGCCAGGCAGCATGGTCGCCATTTCGTCGAACGCTACACCGTCTTCAATGCCGAGCAGTTCGACGGCCTGCCCGCACGCATGTACGCGAAGGCCAATCTGGTGGCGAAGAGTCGTGACAAGCGCGATCTCGATCTGGACCGTGACTTTGGCGCTTATATCCTCCGCTCTGGAGTGGCGCTGCCGCCCGGGGAGGATGACTTGTACGACCCCTACGAAGACGGCATCGGCGTCCAGAACCTCGACTCGACGACTCGCCACGGCGGTAATCACTATTACTGGCGGCTTGCGCGGGCGATAATTCTTAGTACTGGTCACCACGAGCGCCTCGACCGCAAGACCATGGCCGGATCCTCAAGCAGCACGGACGATTCTTGGGAGGCGCTCATCGCCACGATCGGTGCCACGATGCTATGTGCCGCTTTAGGCATGGCGCCGGTAGATTGCGCAATCGTGGACTCCATTCGGATTGAGTCGGGCGAGCACGACCAAAGATGGCGCGTCCGTTGGCAGTGGCTCAGCGGGAGCAAATACCGTCTTGTGAAGGCAGCTACGCAAGCACAGGAGGCCGCCGACTACGTGCTAGACGTGATCCGCGGCGTCGTCGACCCGACGGCAAAGCGAGCGAAGAAGAGAAGGCGTGATGCCGAGTCTGAGTCAGAGTGAGACTCGCACGGCACCTAAACTTCAATTTCACGAGTCCGACTGGGCCGTTCCTTGACTCAGAATCTACCCTGCGGCGTGCCGAAGTCCGAGGTCTGCAGCGTCAAACGGGCCAGCGCGTCCTCGAACAAGTGAAGACCGCACCTTGTCTTCACGCCCTCGTCCGACTATACGACCTCTTGTCTCACCGATCTTTCAGCTGCGTCACTCTGTCCGCCGTCTTGCGCCGTCGCACACTCTGTCCAACGCCCCGAAACGAATTCCGCTCTCCACACACTACACACGACACAATTCTTGGGGCAAATGATTCATTCGATGCGTGTGCGCTAGCAAGAGCGTGTGCCGTAGGAGCCGTGTGACTGATCGCCTTGAAGCCTGTGCGAGCGTGCTTGAGGTCTGTGGGAGTCTGCGAGTTGAAGCCTGTGATCTGCGGGATAGAGAGGCGTGCTGACACGAGAGCACTCTCGCTGTGGACCTGTGACCTGCGGGAGGTGGAGGGGATGCTGCCACGACGAGACGCGCCGCACGGCTGCACACGAGGCAGCCGTGGGCGTGCTGACCCTGCTGCTGGTGCTGCGACTGCGACGGCGCGGCTTGAGGGTAGCTCACCGTCACTGAAACGAGGCGTCAGCGCATGGCCTGTCGACACCTGGAACGCAGCACTCACTTTCCAAAGACACCGTGGTTGGGCGACAGCGGCAGCAGCACGACCGTCGGGCGGCTGACGATGTGCTTGGCCGCCTTGACGGCCTTGACGGCGCCGAGGAGGCGCACGACGTTGGTGAGCATCGCGCGGAACGCCACCTCGGCGCGGTCGTCGATGTCGTCGATCTGCTTGCCGACGACGCTGATGGCGGCAAAGGGAATGAGGATGTCGAGGTCCATGCGCAGCGTCTCGTAGATGTACGTGACGAGGTTCTGCACGTCCTCCTTCGACGCGCCGTTGAAGGGCACGACGGTGAGCGTGGCGCCGCGCGCGCCGACGTTCTGGAAGATCGTCTTGTAGAAGTCGAGCGTGGCGCGCGAGTACGACGACGTCGTGATGACGACGCGCGCACCGCCGGCGAGCAGGCCCTTTGCGACCTCCAGCGCAATCGAGCCCTTGCCGACGCCGGTGAGCAGCGCGTTCTGGCCCTGGAAGGTCACGCCGTTCTTGGCCATGTCCTCGAGCAGCGTCATGTACACGCCGGTGAGCTGCGTGCTCGTCTGCCACTCGCCGCCGACCTTGCGCTTGAAGTTGAGGAACGGCTCGCGGTTCTCGGGCAGCGCCGCCGGCTCGGGCAGCACGACGGGGCGCGGGCCGGCCTGCGACGACTGGCGGCGGTGGCGCGGGCCGGAGCGCGGGCCGGCGCCGAGCTGGCGCGTCGGGCCGAGCGAGCGCACGACCTCGGTGTACATCGACTTGATCGTGTTCTTGCCGACCTTGCTGAACGAGGGCCTGTGGGTGGGGGTCAGCAGCTGCGGTGGCGGCACACTCTCGCGCCACTCACTCGTTGCGGATGAGCGTCCACAGCTTGGCCATCTGCTCGCGCGCCGCCTCGACGTTGACCTGCGGGCCGACGCGCGTGCCGGCGGCCATCTCGGCGACGTACGCCTCGAGCTTGCGCACGCCCTCGCGCTTCACCTCTTCGTACACAATGTCGCCCTTGGCCGTGATCTGCGTGTGGGGCGCGGTGGGCGCGTAGACCTCCTTGTACGTCGGCGGGTGCGAGAGCGCCTCGCGGCAGTTCTCGAGCAGCATCTGGCCGAACTCCTTGGCGAGCGCGTACGTCGGGCCCTGCGTCGGGTCGACCTTGGCAATCGTGTACGCCATGAGCTCGATGAGCGTCGCGTCGGCGCGCGCGAGGATCGTGAGGCAGCGCTGCGTGATCTCGCGGTCGACGGTCGTGAGGCGGCCCGAGAGAATGTCGTACCACAGGTGCTGCGCGTCCTGGCGCGACCAGTTCCAGTACGAGGCAAAGTGGCGCGCCTTGAGGGCGTCGAAGCGCGGCATGATCATGTTGATGTACGTCTCGCCGTGCTCGCGCGAGATGGCGTCCAGCTGGCCCTGCGCCGCAGCCAGCTCGGCCTTGGTGCTCTCGGCCAGGCGCGCGCCCGCGCGCCCGTCGACGCCGATGTAGCGCTCGAGGATCTGGATCTGGCGGCGCGCGTGCTCGTCGTGGCGGCCCTGCAGCTTCTCGAGCTCCTCGGCGCTGATCGTCGAGCCGCCGCCGCCGCCGCCACCGCCGCCACCGCCGCCGCCGGAGCTGAGCGTGATGCCGGCGTTCTGCGCGTACTGCTGCGCGGCCGTGTCGAGGAACGCCTTGGCGTCGCCCTCGGCGCCGAGACGCTTCGCCGGCTCCTGCGTGAGCGCGACGAGCAGCACGGCGTCGGTGCGGCCGGGGCCGAGGCCCCAGGTGCGGTTGAGGTGCGCCTTGGCGGTGGCGAGGTTGAAGCCGCCGGGCATCTTGCCGCCGACCATGCGGGCGACGAGCGCCGACGTGTACTTGCCGGGTGCGCCGCTGTAGCCGGCGGCGAGCGTGGCGCCGAGCTCCTCGAGCGGCATCTCCTCGCCGCGCTCGGGCAGGTTGGCAAACTCCTCGGAGAGCGAGGCGATGAGCTCGTTCTGCAGCGTCGACTTGCCACCGACGAGGTCCTTGATGGCCTTGCTCAGCGGCACCTCGGCCAGCGGCTTCTTGAGCTTCTGCGCGAGGATGACGCGCAGCGTGTCGACGGCCTTGAGCGGCTCGTCGGGCACGTCGGCAGCCGCGGCGCCGCCCGAAGGAGCAGCGGCCGGTGCCGGAGCGGCAGCAGCCGGCGCGGGTGCCGCAGCAGCGGGCGCCGGAGCGGCGGCCGACGACGGGCCAGCAGGCGTGGTCTCGACAGCGGCAGCCTCGGCGTCGGCGAAGTTGTAGTAGATCTTGTCCTTGTCGCCCGAGTGGCAGAACATGGCGCGGCGCTTGCCCTTGGCCTGGTCACGCGCGGCGTACTCTGCAGCGGAGTGGTCAGTATACGGCCTGTGCGGTGCAGCGTGGCAGACGCACTCAGCGCGGCAGTCTTCTGCGCCATGCCCTTGAGCGTCGGCGAAGGGCCGAACTCGATGAAGCGCTCGAAGGAGTACGGCGCGTTGAAGAAGACGTCCTGCGTCTCGATCCTGCGCAGCGTGTGAGCAAGCTTTCGCGCAGCACATTCGCGCGACATCGACTCACCAGCGCACGGGACTGGCGAACTGGTGGCTGAGCAGCAGCAGCAGCAGCTCCTTGGCGAGGCGCTGGCGCTTCTCGGGCGTGCCCCAGCCGTCGGCCTCCCAGTTCTGCAGCATCTTGCCGAGGCGCGGCGAGTCCGTCGTCGCGAAGATGAGCTCGGCATAGGACTTGGTGAGCTGCATAGTGATGTGTCAGATGGTGCGACGTGCGAAGGAGTGAGGAGTTGAGCGAGGCAAGCCGGTGCAACAAGGCGCCAGCACGGCCCACCCTTAGCGCAGCACCCAGTATCACCAGGCGTCCTGCCGCAGTGACCGCTCTGGCGCTCCACGGTCTGCCACATTGCTCTTCCTGATGCTCCATGCCCCACCGCACTTCATGCCCCACCCTCTACGCTCTGCTGCACTTCACGCGCGCACGCACCTCGAACGGCTTGGCGACGAGGTTGGGGATGTACTTGCCGACGAGGATGTCGGGGTTGATGTCGCCGATGCGCTTGCTGAGGAAGGCGTGGAACTCGGGCACGCCGCCGCCGAGGACGCGCGAGTGGAAGGGCACGTCGATGCCGGGCAGCGGGATGGTGCAGTAGCCGCGCTTGAGCTCGATGCGCCCGCGCGACGCCTCCTCGCGCGCGGCGGCGTCGGCGCCGGCGATGATCTCGCTCAGCTTCGAGCGCAGCACGGCCGGGTCGGCGGACTGGAGGATGGACATGATGGGCGGGTGGGTGCGCTGGGGGAAGGCGCGGTGGTGGTGGGAGGGCAGGCGGGGTGCATGCATGGCGAGGGTCTGTGAGCGCGTCACAGCCACCGCACGGTCGCGACTGCCTGCGCCAGCGAGAGCTCCCTCCTCGGCCTCTCTCGACCGGCCCTCCTCTCGCCTCTCCTCGCTCCTCGCTCGGCCTCGACCTCGTCGCTCGCAAACCACTTTGTCGCAGAGTGCCGCCCAACACTCGCGCGGTGCCTGGCCGCGTGTTGGGAGCGCGTTCCCACGCCTCCGCCTGCGCCCGTCGCCCGCCAGCTCGCCCTCTCCAGCTCGCAGGCCACCCTGACGCTGCACGAATTCGAGCGTCTCGAGCAGCCGCTTGTCGCCCTCGCAGCCTTTGCGAACTGTCAAAGGGCCGCCGACGTTGCAGCCGCCAGAGCCGGCGCTGCCGCGGCCGCTGCTCCACTCGGCCAGTGCCTGCCCGCCCCAACACTGCGCCGCCGCGCTGGGCTGCTCCGGTCCGGACCGGTCGGGTCGCTCGCGGCGTGCCTGCGCTTGGGCCAGCGGCACGCCGCCCGGGCCTGTGGCTTGGCCAAAAAAATGGTCAAGTGGGGCCGCGGGCACGGCAGCAGTGTCCGGCGCCCCAGGCACCGCCGCGGAAACTTTGGCCGCGAGTGCACGGGCCATGTCCGGCGACGGCGAGCTCGCTCTCGACGGCGAGCAAACGCTCTCAAACTCGACGACGAGCAGCAGGGCCGAGGGAAGTCAAACGCTGGAGTATGGAGTGCAGGCGGACGTCTGAGCGCTGACAGGCGACCGACCTTCACCGCGAGGATGACGGCGACGGGCTTGGCGCGTTTCGTCCTCAAATGCGATGCTTGTCCACCTCACGGTCACCTGGGCAGGCCCAGATCGATCGTGCAAGGCTTGAGCGTAGCCGTACAGGTGATGCAAAGCAGGCTGGAGGCAGCCGGTACGGGAGTCGGCGCTGCGGAAGCCAGCGCTTGCAACGACCGTGTCAAGCCATCTCGGCGCCGCCAGCTGCACGTCAAGCTCACACGCCGCGAGCGCGCTCCCGGCTATCGCCTTTTCTGTGGTACCTTGTGGTTGACAAGCTCGCCGCTCTTCATCATTCGAGAGAGGCTCTTGCTTGGAGAACTGGTGCTGCTTGCTGCGCTCTGGACGACGTCTCGCCCTGCCGGCGCTGCCGCGGCCGGCGCCGCGTGGAGGCGCAGCGTGCGGCGCCCCAACGGCGCGCGCACACTGCCCGCGTGCCTGCGCCCGACGCGCGCGGTGTTGGGCTGCGCGCTGCAGGGCCCAGCGCGGAGTGCGTGCCGCCTCTTCCTTCGGGTGCCGCCCCCGCTGGCGGCGTGCCGCTCTTCTCTTGATGGCAGATTTCGCAAGGCGGCGTCGAGACGAGAGAGGCGAGAGGTGAAGCGAAGAGAGTCTTAGTGCTCGCCTGCCGCTGCCACGTCGTTGCTGCCGCCCGCTGCGGCGGCGATGGCGCCTCGCGAGGGTTCGGCTCGGGACGCCTGCAGCACCGCAAGCGTCGGCCAGACAAGCCTCGCACGGGCGCAGCAGCGGCGCAGGCGATGAAGGCGCCGCACGGGCGTGCAAGGCAGGCGTCGAACCGAACTCGGGGTGAGGTGTGTGCTTGCGGGTGCGGGCGAGGAGAGTGCTGGGCCCGGCAGTCCCGCCGGCGGTGCGGGCGTATGGCAGAGGCGTGCGCGTGCGGCGCTCTCTCGGCGTGCCTTCGCGCGCCTTGCGCCGGGCGCCTCGCCTGCGCCGCTGCTCCACCGCCAGCGCACACCTTCTTCGCCCTCGCCCGCACCCCGATCCTCTCTCTGTCCCACACCACCACCACCATCCCTCCCGACCCGGCAACCCACCCTCGCCGCACCCGCGCCCTCACCACCTGCGCCTCACCCACCCCGCCTGCCTCTTTTGGTTCCCGTCCCTGTCACCGCGTCACCGTTGTCTGCCTCGCTGTCCCGTTCCCCACCCCATTCGCGCGCCATGGCGAGCAGCCGCGACGCCGTGCTGCCGCCCGTGCCCGGCGCACCCGGCCTCAGCGCCGGCAGTGCGCCGTCGGACGACGACTACGTCGACATCCGCGCCTCGCCGCTCCTCGCCAGCGGCCACCTCGCCGAGACGGCGCTGCGCCCCATTCAGCTCAGCACGCGCGTGAGCCAGGTGCGCGTGCCGGTGCCGACCGCGCCGTACGAGGCCTGGATCACTGCCATCGTCGTGCGCGACGACTTCCACCGCGGCCTCGCAGCTGCTGGCAAGGACGGTGCCGCCGAGGCTGCCGCGCCTGCGCCGCCGGCCGAGGAGGACGACGTCGACGACGACGAGGAGACGCGCGCCGCCAACCAGGCGCGCCGCAACGCCGCTCTCGCCGCGACACAGCTTGAGGTGAGCAAATTCTCAGGTGCCCACAGCTGCAGTGCGCTGACTGTTCTCCTGTGCAGGGCCGCGTCGTGCTGGCCGCGCGCTTCCTCGGCTACCTCGCAGGCAAGCTCAACGGCAGCGCAAGCACCGCAGCAAGCGGAAGCGGCAGCAGCAGCGGCAGCAGCGGGCGCAGCGCCAGCCCCGCCGCCAAGGCCGGCACGCCGTCGCACGAGGGCAACATCCTGCAGTGCGCCTGGGCCGCCTTCAACCAGCAGTTCCTCGCCGCCGCACACACCGACGTGCACGCGCTCACGGCACGCCTCGACGCCGCGCTGCGCACCGAGGTGCTCTGCAGCTACTACGACGCGCTCGTCGTGCTCGAGCACTCCGGCGGCCTCGTGCCCGCGCTCCCGACGCCCAAGCTGCTCGCGCTTGCCGAGCAGGGCGAGACGGAGATCTTTGCCGTCTTTGGCGGCCAGGGCACCAACGAGGTGAGTCTGCGTGCAGAAGTGGAGCGGGGCGCGGCGCGCATTTGGGGACCCAACAAAAGGCGTGGGAACAGCGCGAGCCGCCGCCGCGCTTGGCGCCTTTGCGCTTTTGGCGCTTCTGCCGCCAACACATTTGCTGACGCTCCCTCGCGCAGGTCTACTTCGATGAGCTGCAGGAGCTGTACAACACCTACCGCGCCCTCGTCGCGCCGACGCTGCAGGCCGCCAGCGCCGTGCTGCAGTCGCTCGTCGAGGAGGCGACGCTCGCCGGCTTCGGCAGCTACTACACGCACGGCGCCGACGTCTTTGGCTGGCTGTCGGGCCGCGTGCCACGGCCGCCGGTCGCGTACTTCGCCAGCATTCCGCTGAGCCTGCCGCTCATCGGCCTCACGCAGCTCACGCAGTACCTCGTCGCCTGCCGCGCCAGCGGCCTCTCGCCCGGCGAGTTCCGCGCGCGCGTCAAGGGCGCCACGGGCCACTCGCAGGGCGTCGTCTCGGCCATCGTGCTGGCGGCGTCGGAGAGCGAGGAGAGCTTTGCGCTCAACGTCATCAAGGGCCTGCGCCTGCTCTTCCACATCGGCAAGCGCGGCCAGGAGGGCTTCCCGCGCCTCTCGCTCGATGCCGCGCTCGTCGCCGACGCCGTCGCCGGCGGCGAGGGCGAGCCGACGCCCATGCTGTCCGTGCAGGGCCTGACGCAAAAGGCCCTCGACGCCGCCGTCGCCGCGGTCAACAAGCACAACGAGGCGGCGCACAAGATCGACATTTCGCTTTTCAACGGCCCGACGAGCTTCGTCGTCACGGGCCCGCCGCGCTCGCTCTTCGGCCTCGTCGGCCACCTGCGCGCCAAGCGTGCCGACCCCGACGCGGACCAGTCGAAGCTCGTGTACTCGAAGCGCAAGGCCGTCTTCAACATGCGCTTCCTGCCCGTCGGCGTGCCGTACCACTCGCGCCACCTCGAGGGCGCCGCCGACAAGGTCGTCGAGCTCGACCTGCAGCGCGACGAGCTCTGGAGCGCCGGCGAGCTGCGCACCGCCGTGCACAACACGTACGACGGCTCGAACCTCGCCACGTACGACAGCGCCAGCATCGTGCGCTCGGCGTGCGACCAGATCTTCACGCAGCACATCCACTGGCTCAAGGCGTGCAACGTGCCCGCCAGCACGACGCACTGCGTCGACTTTGGCACCGGCGGCCTCTCGGGCATCGGCGGCCTCACGCTGCGCAACCTCGAGGGCCGCGGCGTGCGCGTCGTCACCGTCTCGGGTCGCCACCGCTACTCGGCCGAGCTGTACGACGTCGCCTCCGTGCAGCGCGAGCAGTCGTGGGACGCCTTTGCGCCGAAGCTCGCGCGCACCGCCAACGGCCTGCAGCTCGACACGCCGCTCGCACGCATTCTCGGCCGCCCGCCGATCACCGTCGCCGGCATGACGCCCTCGACGGTGCAGGCCGGCTTCAACGCCGCCACGGCCAACGCCGGCTACCACATCGAGCTCGCCGGCGGCGGCCACTACAGCGCCTCGGACCTGCGCCGCAAGATCGACACGCTGCAGTCGCTCGTGCAGCCGGGCGTCGGCTTCACGCTCAACTCGCTCTACATCAACCAGCGCCAGTTCACCGTGCAGTTCCCCGAGTGGCTCGCCATGCGCCGCGAGGGCTACCCGCTGCAGGGCTTCACGTGCGCAGCAGGCATCCCCTCGCCCGAGAAGGCCAAGGAGATCATCGATGGCCTCAAGACGGCCGGCCTGCGCCACATGACGCTCAAGCCCGGATCCGCCTCGGGCATCAAGCAGGTGTGCGCCATTGCCGCGCAGAACCCGAGCTTCGGCATCATCCTCTGCTGGACGGGCGGCCGCGCCGGTGGCCACCACTCGTCCGAGGACGAGGACGCGCCGCTCGCCGCGCTGTACTCGCGCATCCGCCAGCAGCGCAACATCGCGCTCATGGTCGGCGGCGGCTTCGGCGAGGCGTCGGGTGCCGACTTTGCGCCGTACCTCGACGGCTCGTGGAGCGCCAAGCACGGCCTTCCGCCGGCGCCCGTCGACGGTGTCGTGTACGGCTCGTGGGCGATGCTGGCGAGCGACAGCCACACGTCGGCGGCGGTGCGCGAGCTCATGGTTGCCGCGCCGGGCTGCGACGACTCAAACTGGGAGCAGACGCACGCCGCCAAGGGCAACAAGTCGGGCATCATCAGCGTCATCAGCGAGCTTGGCGAGCGCATCCACGTCATCGAGAACCGCGGCACGCGCCTGTGGCGCAAGCTCGACGACGAGCTCTTCAGCCTCAAGACGTCCGCCAAGCGCGACGAGTACCTGGCCAAGAACAAGAAGGTCATTGTCAAGGCGCTCAACGCCGACTTTGCCAAGGTATGGTTCCCCGCGCGCGACGGCCAGCCGCTCGACGACCTCAGCGAGATGACGTACCGCGAGGTCGCGCTGCGCCTCGTCGAGCTGTGCTTTGTGGCGCACCAGGGCCGCTGGATCGACCCGTCGTACCGCCAGACGGTCGGCGAGTTCCTGCGCCGCTGCGAGGAGCGCGCCGCCACGCGCGACGGCCCTTCGGTGCTGCAGTCGTTCGCCGTGCTCGACAAGGAGCCGGCCGCGTTCGTGCAGCGCTTCTTCGACGAGCACTACCCGGCGCGCCTCGGCCTGCTGGGCGGCGAGGACGTCGCCTTCCTGCTGGCGCTCGTCACGCGCCGCGGCGCCAAGCCGCCGCCGTTCATCCCCGCGCTCGACGGTAGCTTCCAGACGTACTTCAAGAAGGACTCGCTGTGGCAGAGCGAGGACCTCGACGCCGTGCCCGGCCAGGACGCGCAGCGTGTGTTCATCCTGCACGGCCCCGTCGCCGCGCAGCACGCCAAGCGCTCCGACCAGCCGATCAAGGACATGCTCGACGGCGTGCAGAAGGGCCTCATCCAGCACGTGCTGCAGCAGTACTACGGCGGCGACGAGAGCAAGGTGCCCTACGCCGACTACCTCGGCCCGCAGGCGCCCGACGTCGACGAGGCCGGCCTGCTGGCGCGCTGCGGCATCAGCAAGCAGGGCGACGCCGCCAAGGCCACGTACAGCCTCGGCTCCGTGCTGCCGCCCGCCGACGAGTGGCTCGAGGTGCTTGCCGGCCACGGCGAGACCTGGATGCGGGCTCTCCTGCGCAGCGTCAGCGTCGTGCAGGGCAGCTCGTACGCCGACAACCCGATCGCGCGCATCCTCTCGCCGCGCCGCGGCCAGGTCGTCGAGGTCAGCTACGACTCCAACGGCGCGCCGCTCGGCCTCGTCGTGCGCGGCTCGGCACGCTCGTACGGCCCGCACAAGCCCGAGTTCAAGGCCGTCGAGATCTCGCGCGCCGACGAGCTCATCAACGTCACGCTCTTCGAGGACGTCGAGGACCGCGCCGTGCCGCTGCCGCTGCAGTTCCGCTACGTGCCCTCGCAGCCGTTTGCGCCGATCCACGAGGTCATGTCCGGCCGCAACGAGCGCATCGCCGACTTCTACCGCGGCGTGTGGAGCCTCGACGCCGTGCCCAAGGACACGACCGTCTTCACCTCGCCGCCCAAGGAGGTCGAGGCCGAGGACATCCGCGCCTTTTCGCGCGCCGTCTCGCTCGCCAACGAGGAGTACGTCACGGCCGCCTCGGCGCCGCTCGACTGGAGCATCCGCGCCGGCTGGCGCAGCCTGATGGCCGCCGCCATGTCGGTGCCGGACAGCTCGTTGCTCGACCTCGTGCACCTGTCCAACTCGTTCAAGCGCGTCGCGGCGCCGCTGCGGCCCGGCGACGTGTGCTCCTCGCGCGCCGAGGTCACGAGTGTCAAGATTGGCCCGACGGGCAAGAGCGTCGTCGTGCGCGGCGTCGTGCTGCGGCACGAGAACGGCGAGCCGGTGCCCGCCGTCGAGGTGACGAGCAGCTTCTTCTTCCGCGGCTCGTTCAAGGACTACGCCTCGACGTTCACGCGCTCGTCGGAGACGTACCGCGTCGAGCTCAAGTCGGCGTCGGACGTGTCGGTGCTGCTGGCCAAGGAGTGGTTCAGCGCCACGGGCACGCTGACGCCGGGCGTGCCGCTCGAGATGCAGGTCGACTCGGAGATGCGCTACGCCGGCGACAGCAGCAGCTTCAGCGCCGTGGGCGTGTCGGGCGGCGTGTACATGCGCGACGCCAACGACGGCAAGCGCGTGCGCGTCGGCGAGATTGCCTACGACGCCGAGGGCAAGAGCTACGGCAACCCCGTCGTCGAGTACATCAAGCGTCTCGGCGGCAGCACGCTCGGCCCGATCCCGCTCGAGGGTGGCGGCTACTCGCTGCTCACGGGCGCCGAGGCGCACACCTGGACGGCGCCGGCGACCAACGCGCCGTACTCGGCCGCCTCGGGCGACTACAACCCGATCCACATCAACCCGTACTTCTCCGACCTCGCCGGCCTGCCGGGCACGATCACGCACGGCATGCACTCGTCGGCGGCCGTGCGCCGCATCGTCGAGGAGATTGCCGCCGAGGGCCACGCGGACCGCTTCCGCAGCTTCGACGCCAACTTTACGGGCATGGTGCTGCCGGGCGACGAGCTCACGATCGGCCTGCGGCACGTGGCGATGCGCGACGGCCGCAAGATCATCCGCGTCGAGGCGACGAACCAGCGCGGCGACAAGGTGCTCGACGGCGAGGCGACCGTCGACCAGGCGCCGACGGTGTACACGTTCACCGGCCAGGGCTCGCAGGCCGTCGGCATGGGCATGGACCTGTACGAGTCGTCGCCGGTCGCGCGCGCCATCTGGGAGCGTGCCGAGCGGCATCTGCAGACGACGATGGGCATCTCGGTGCTCGACATTGTGCGCAACAACCCCAAGTCGCACACGTGCCACTTTGGCGGCGTCGCCGGCGCGCGCATCCGCAACCAGTTCATGAGCATGACGTTCGAGGCGCCCGACGGCACGACGCGCCCGCTCTTCCCCGAGATCACGACGCAGTCTACGTCGTACACGTTCAACTCGCCAGACGGCGTGAGTGTCATAGACGAAAGAAGGATGTGGTGCACCGGCTGACCCTTCCCGCCGCAGCTCCTCTTCATGACGTCGTTTGCGCAGGTCTCGATTGTGCTCGTCGAGATGTCGGCGTTCCAGGACATGCAGTCGCGCGGCATGGTCGACCCCGCCGCGCCGTATGCCGGCCACTCGCTGGGCGAGTACGCGGCGCTGGCTTCCGGCGGCACCCTGACGGTGGAGCAGGTGTGCGACGTGTGCATGCGCCGTGGTCTCACCAGTGCGTAGCAGATGCGATGCGTGCCAGAGCTGCAGCTGACCCGATCCCCACAGTGGAGCGTGCCGTCGCCCGTGACGCCGAGGGCCGGACGGACTACGCGCTCATGGCCGTCGCACCGGCGCGCCTGCAGCTCACCGACGAGATGCTCATGCACATCATCACCGAGATCGACGCCATCGAGGGCTGCTTCCTGCAGGGCATCAACTTTGTGCGTAGCGCAAGGCTCAGGCTGCGCGGACGGCATGCTGACCTCCCGCCCGCCCACAGAACGTCTCGACGCTGCAGACCGTCGTCGCCGGCAACCTGCGCGGCCTGCAGACGCTCACCCACACGCTCAACGCCATCGCCAAGGCGACGCGCGGCTGAGCGACATTCTCTATGCCCCTGCTCGTGCTGCCCTGCTCCCCCTTCAATCTGGTCCCTGCTCCGCTTCACGTTACTGTTTCTCGACCATAGACAGAGATCCGACAATGCCACGAATGACAAGTCCACGCGGGCGCCGCACGCGCCCCTGACGAGTGCGCGGCCGGCGTCTATCGAGCACTCCGCCGTGCCCATGTGTCCCTGCAGCGCCAGGCACGCCCCGAGGGCCTTCCGAGATGCGCCCTCGGCCCCTGAGACCTGTTCCAGACCAGCGGCAAAGGAGAGCTGCCGTCTCTCAAGAAGTCATAGGTCGCCACATCGGCGCCAGGCCATGTTCGCGGCGAGTGTTGGGAGCGCCGAGCGTGCACGGCATGACAGTGACGGGCGCCGCCTCGCAGCGCCGCAGCCAGAGCGCGGCAGCATGCCAAGCGAGAGCAGCACAGCCCGGCGCAGGGGCAGCGGTGCGGCGCGGCGGGGGCAGCGGAGGAGGAGGGAGGAGAAGGCACGGCAGCGCTTCTGGTGCGTGGGCGGGCAGGCGCGAGCACCTGGCCAGTGTGCGGCGTGCGGCGTGTTGCTTTCGCGCCCTCCAACATCGCCGGCAGGCGCTGCGCCTGTGCTGCAGAGTGCGGCCGCTGGGCGCAGCACGCAGGCGGGCAGCGCTGCAAGGCTTGGCTGGCAGGCCGCGGCGGCGGACGAGTGTGCCGCATGCGCCAGATCGCCGCGGCGCGGCCTGCCCGCTGCGCCTGCTGCTGCCGTCTGCTGCATCTGTCAGTCGCTCGCGTGCGGCGCAGGCAGACGGCAGGCGGACGGCGCACAGCGCATGCGGGTGCACAGCTCCTGAGCCGAATCTGGCGCTGGGGCCGCGGCTCAGGTCCCTTTCGTGGTGCTGGGCCCCCTGATCCTGCCTCTCGCACCTCATACCTCACTCTCACCCCACGCAGCGACACCTCGTCCAGCACGCAGCTGCGCTCGCATCGCACATCGCTTCACACGCGCGCATACACGCCCGACCTACGCTGCTTGTTCTCTTGCGCCTGCCCCTCGCGCAGCGCTCTTGCACAGCATGGGTGAGCATCGCACCCGCTGTGCCTCTCGCAGCCGCTCTCGCAGCGCGCCGCACATGTCGCCGGAGCGTAGGCGGTCCACCTGGTGTGGCTCGGCATGGTAGAGTCTAGAGCATGCCGCCTGCTGCTTAGCCGCAACCTGCAACTGCGGGCAGGGCTCTGGTTGTAGTCTCAGTGCGAGCGGGAGCGCTGCCAGCCGGAACGTGCGCGACACGGCCGCTGCTTGCGTTGCGCAGCTACGATCCTGGTGCTCGCCTGGGCGGCCAGGCATGAGCGACTGTGTTCTGTGCCCGCACAGGTCCCGCTGCGCCTACTGCCCCTGGGACTCTGCTGACGCTGCGCATTGCGCTCTTCTCCAGCCGCACAGCCGAACCAGCACGCCGCAGTGCTTGCCGCACTCTCTGATGTCGTGACCGTGGCGCCGAGTGGCGCACCGCGCTCGCCCGGCGCTGGCGGTGCCGCCGACGGAAGCTCAGCTGCGTACGCCGGCGCCACACCCATGGCGCCTGGCGCTGCGCCGCCCGCCGTGCCCACCAAGGACTCGTACGACCCGCTCAGCGGCGGCGCCATGCCGCCGCGCAGCATGGGCGCGCGCTTTGCTGCTGCATTCCGGCGCCAGACGAGCGAGGAGAAGGAGATCAAGCGCAAGGAGAAGGAGCGGCGCATGCGCGGCGAGATGAGCCGCCACGAAAGCAAGAGCAGCCGCATGGACGTCATCGACAAGCTTGACATGAGCGGCATCCACGGCAGCAGCAGTGAGTCGCGCGCAGCCAAGAGTGCGGCTGTGCTTGCTTGTCTACTGACACGCTGCTCTGCAGTGTTCCACCACGACAGCCCGTACGACGCCTGCAGCCCGCACGCGAACCGCAACATGCGGCGCGCGCCCGTCGGCGCTTTTGACGCGAGCATCGACCCGATGACGGGCAAGCCGTATGTGCGCGGCGGCGGCGCCGCGGCCTCGTCGCGGCCGGGCGCCAGCGGCAAGAGCGGCAACCTCAGCGAGCTGGCGCAGGGCACCTTGCGCAAGATGAGCCAGAGCAGCGGCCTCTCCATCGGCGACGACGTCGTGGGCGTGCCGACGCTCAGCTCTGGCGCCGGCGGCGCGCGTGACGACGACGCCGCCAGCGAGTCGCACAGCATCATCGACCGCGACGTCGAGGCGGAGCGCAACTTCCGCTCCAGCCGGCAGGAGTGGGGCAACGAGGGGCGCAGCGGCCGCAGCGACGCCGCCAACCCGCATGCCGAGATCTGGGGCGTGGCGTCGGAGCCGTGGCAGGACTTTGCGGCACCGGCCGCACGGCCGTCGCGCAGCAACGGCAAGGGCGGCCTCGCCCCGCCCAGCGGGCCGTCGAGCCGCGCCAGCTCCGTGTACGACATGGAGGCGGTCATGACGGGCCGCACGGGCGGCGCGGCGGCCCAGGGCAACGGCGACGACAACGCGCAGCTCGACATCCCCGGCGTCAGCCCGTTCCCGGAGCGCGACTGGGGCGCACCGGGCGGCAGCGGCGAGGGCCCCAAGCGCAGCAAGAGTCTGATCAAGCGGATCAAGGTGGCACGGCGTGAGTGTCCAGTGACAGGCGCCGGCGTCCAGCGGCTGACCCTCCATCCAGAGAACCCTAACGTGCCTGCTGGCGATGCGGCCGACGTCGAGCTCGCGGCGCTCGACCGTCCGGCGGCGCGGCGCGGCTACTCGGCCGGCCCGGGTCACCGCCACTCGCCCTCGTCGCCGCCTCTGACCACCGACGGCTACGGCAACGGCGGCAGCGGCGTGTCGTCGGGCGTCGGCAACTCGCTCGGCCGCTCCGGCACGCTGCGGCCGCGCGCCGCGCCGCGCGAGAACTACTCGCCGGGCGTCACGCCGCAGGCCAACGGCGAGGAGGCGTCGGACTACACCTCGGCCGGCGGCGCAGCACCCTCGAGCGGCGCAGGCGTAGCGCGCAACAACAGCATCTTTGGGCGCTTCGGCAAGGGCCGCGGCGGCAAGGGTGCCGAGCGCGGCGAGGTTGCCGTGCGCTGAGCGCGGCTGTGTTCTTCTTCTGAGCCGCGGCGCTGGACTCTCTGCGCCGGCGCGACGCTGTCACCTTTCGATCATTTCTTTTGCTCGCCTTCCGTTCGTGCCCGCGTCGACGGTGCCATACTCTAGCGCCGCCTCTTCTCTTCTGCTCGTTGCTCTTCTCCAATGCAGCCTCCTGCAATGCCACGTCTACTCGAGGCGGGAACGATGCGATTAGCGAGGGGCATGTGCGGGGTGACGATGGGTAAAAGTGTGTGTGAAGGCGGACCGGGTGCATGGGGAAGGAAGGGTCACTCGGCGAGGCCGAGAAAGACGACGTGGGTGCGCACAAACAGCGTCGAGAACATGTAGGGCGTGAGCTGCGCGTCGTACAGCGGCAGGTGGCGGTATCCTGTGGGGCGCAAGGGTCAGACGCAGCGTGCGATACATCCCGGCCAGACTCACCACGCTGCATGGCGCCGAGCGAGGTGACGCAGGCGGCCAGGCACGTCGGCTCGCCGCCCTGCTCGGCATCGCAGACCTCGAAGCGGAGGAAGGCCAGGTCGAGGAGACCACGCGCCAGCGCGCGGAGCGGCAGGTCGGCCTCGCTCGCAGCGCCGCCGCCGCGCTGCACGGCCGCGAGCGCCTGCGAGAGAAGCGCCTCGCTGGCGCCGTCTGAGCCCGCAGGCACGTCGACAGCGAGCGCGAGTGTCTCACGCCACTGCGGGTTGAAGCCATTGGCCCGCACAATGGCGGTGCGAGCACGCGGCCAGGGCGTCGAGCTGCTGCTCGAGGACGCCGAGGAGGACGAGGCCTGCTTGCGCAGCGTGCGGCCCGGTGGCGCAGCGGGCGTCGCCGTCGAACCGTAGCTGCCGATGCGGCCCTCGGGAGGCGGAGGCGGCAGCAGTGTGCCGCTGCTGCTGCTGCGCCGACCAGCAGCAAGTGCATCTGACGGCCGCACAGCTGCGTCTCCGTTGACGCTCGGCTGACGGCCCCAGCCCTCGGGTGCGAGGAGCGACAATGCAACAAAAGGGTCAATCACGTCGCCCTCCTCGCTGTCGCGGTCGCGCGACGCATCCTTGAAGCGCGGCAGTTGCTGCGCCGACACGATCTTTCTGGGAGTCAGCGAGGCGCATACGCACAGCTCTGTGCCGCCGACTGACCGTCACGCGGACCTCGAAGCGCAGCCGCTTGGGCGCGCTCTTGTACACCTCGCGGATGCGCAGCGCTTCGGGCTTCAGCACGTATCCGCAGCGGCCATTGCGCTGGAACATCGCGCGGTTGAGCTCGAAGCCGAGGTCTGCGCGAGGGTCAGCGCAGGACGGATCAACTGCGACGGCGGTACGCACCCATCGTCTGCCAGTTGAGTGCCACCAGCTGGCTGCCCGTGGCCCATACATGGTGCGGCAGGAAGTTGGCGCTAGCATGCAGGCGCGCCAGGCTCGCCATGCTTGGATAGACGCGCGTGAGGTGAGTGAGATTGTGCTTGATGAGGTCCTCGGCGGCCGTGCGGGCATAGCGAAAGGCGCTGCGCTCCGAGAGAGAGATCATGTGCTCGGGCGCATACGTCTCCTTCTTGTTGATGCCGCGGTGCTTGACGCCGACGGTGTAGATGAGCAGCGCCGAGAGCGACGGTGCCATGAGCACCTTGGCTGCCGGCTTCTGGCTGCCGCTGCCGCTGTGGCTGCTGCCGCGCTTGGTGACGCTGCGCACGAGGTCGCGCAGCGTGTCGCCGTCGGACTCGGTCGTGTCCGTCGACGCCTCCGACATGCAGACGGCCTCGGTCACGGGCTGCTCCGGCCGCGGCGACTCGGCGACGAGCGCGAGGTTCTTGGTCTTGATGAGGATCTTGCCGCGCAGCTCCTCGGGGCTGGGCAGCTCGGCGCCGTCGCGGCCGACGAGATGCTCGCTCAGCAGCATCGGGCCGAGCACGCTGCGCAGGATCGACGCCATTATCTCTTGCTGCGGCACGTCATTGTGCACCTCGAGCGAGAGGATCAGCGGGCACGGCGAGCTGACGAATGCGTAGCGGCCGATGGCCGTGATGACGTCGACAAACGGCACCTTGCTTGTGAGCGTGTGGCCATGGGTGATGTGCGGCGTGTCGTTTGGCCCGTCCCAGCAGTCGACTGAGAAGCGTGTCAGTGGTGAAGCGTAATGCGCAGCATGGTCTCTCCATCTGTACTCACGCTCGACGGAGCGGGCGCCGCCCTGCAGCGCGCGCACGTAGCCCTCGACGGTGCTGTCGCCCTTCCACTGGCCGCCGACGAGGTAGGTGTTGTGGCTCGAGCTGATGTAGTAGTCGGACAGCGGGTGCGTCATGTCATGGTGCGTCTTGGATGGGAACGCATCGGGCGCGCGTGCGCCGACTTGCAGCAGCGCCTCGGTCGTCTGCGCTGCGGCGCGAGATCGCAGAACAGCCGCATCGCGTGGGGAGACAGCGACGGCGGCAGCAGCTGCAACCGCGCCGCTTCCAGACGGGCGGGCGTCAGCAGCGACGACGGCATTGTCGGCGGACAGCAGAAAGGCCGCGAAGCCGTCGAGACGCAGCCGCGGCTCGTTCTCGTCGTGCTCGGCGTATCGCTCGAAGAGGGCCTCGAGCTGCGGCGGGAGCGTGTCCATGAGGCGCTGCTCGTCGCGCAGAAAGGCGCAGAAGCGCGCGCGCGACATGGCGCGCGTCGCCGCACGGCGGTGTGCGTCTGCCCTTGGCGTAGGCGACGTGTTGGCTTGAAATTCTGCTGCAGCAGACGGCGAGGCACCAATGTCGCCCAGGTCCGGCTGCTTGTCGCCGGCTGCGCCTGGTGCGACGGCGTCTCCAGCCGCGCCTGTTCCGACGGCATCTCCAGTGCCACTCTGCTCGTCGAGCTCGACGTCGGCCCACTCCATCCAGATGCTCTCGATGTCCTCTCTCCGCTTGAGCACGCCGACGAAGCGCTGGAAAGCCTCGAAGTCTAGCCAGCCGCGCGCTTGCGCGTCTGCCTCTGCGAATGCCGCGCGCAGCATCTTGCGGCTGCTCTCGATGCCGATGCGGCGACAGAGCCGGACCACCTCGTCGAAGGCCAAGCGCGAGTCGGCATTCGTGTCACCGACGCGCCAGTGCTGGCGCAGCCAGAGCTGCTGCCGCTCGTCGAGGCCCTCGGCACCACTGGCGCCGCCGAGCAGCGCCGCACGCAGCGAGTGGAGTGCCCCCAGTGTGTCACGCCAGCGCGCGAGCGAGGCGTCCGAGAGCGCAATCAGGTGCAGCGCCTTGTACACGCCCGACGACTGGTAGATGATGCTCAGCCAGCGCGGCGCGTGCGCCGACGAGATGGACAGCGCCGTGCGGTACGACGCCGCCGACGCGCCGACGCGCACCTCGCGGATCGCCTCGAGGTTCACTGGGTGATCGTCAGCGACGGTCGATGGGAGTCACGGCGGCACCCCTCGGTGTCGCTCTGCGGCGACTCACCCTTGTTGTTCTTCTTGCTGTCCCACAGGATCTGCCCGCGCTCCGTGTCGAGGCGGAAGGAGCGCTGCATGACTTTCTTCTGCGTAACCTTGAGCATCGGCTCGCCGCGCGCCAGCTCCGGCGGCACGCCCGGGATCGGCGAAGGAGCGGGCACTGGTGGGGAAGAGGAGAGGGCGAGCTCTGCCGAGACCTGCGGCGGCGGCAGCTGGGCGCCTTCGATGGGCATGGGCGTCGCGGGCGGAACAGTGGCCAGCGTCTCGGGCGATGCCTGCAGCGTGGTCTCAGGGAGCACGGCCGTCGATGCGTCGCCCGATGAAGCCGTGCTCGCCGACTGCTCGGGCGCTTGGACATGCGGTCCTGCGGCGTGCTCCACTTGCTGCTCGGACACCGCACGCGGCTCAGCCTCGCGACTCGTACTCTCTGCGACGACGGGCAGGGCTGTTTCCGAGGCCGCGAGCCCGGCGTCGCTGTGGGCGCTGGCAGCATGCGCCTCCTCGTGCTTGCCGACGCGCATTGCCTTCCACGTCTCGCTGGCGCGGCGGCGATGCTCGAAGCGGTGCACGGCGCCCTCGACCTTGGCCGCCAGGCGTCCGGGCGTCTCCGACAGGCGGCGCGTGAGCGGCACGGGCGGCGGCGCAGCCAAGCGGGACGAGGATGCGGTGCTGTCGAGCGTGTCGCTGCGGGTCACCGCCGGCTCACTCCCGGTCCGCGAGAAGCGTGCGCGCGCCGAGGCCAGCCAGCCAGCGCGCGGCGGCGACGTCGGTGCAGGCGAGGCGGGGGCAGCGGGCGAGGCCGGTGCGGCGTGCTGGCCATGCGGCGCGGGCGGGTCCGCAATCGCAGCGTCCGGCTCGGCGCTGTGCGCATACGCCGCCGGCGAGCAGAGGCGGCGCAGCCAGCTGGCCTGCCTGTGTGAGGAAGCAACAGGACCGGGGTCGGGCGGCATAGTGGATGAGGATATGGTGGTTGAAAGGGCGGCGGCGCGTGCGAGAATGCCGACCCCGCAGAGGAGGCTGTGCCAAGCCTCCTTCTCGGCGGTGCTCCGCAAGCGGATGTCGCCGCAGAGCGTGGGAACACCAGCCGGGTTTGGCAGGCGCAGCTGCTGCCTCATTGTCTGTGTGCACGCCTCTGCAGCCATGCAAGAGGGAGCAACAAGCCCCTGCCTGAAGCAGGACAAGTCACCACTGCGTAGATCAAGCTTTGAGTGCCAGTCTGGTGTGCCAATGCAGGGTTAGGGTTAGGGTTAGGGTTAGGGTTAGGGTTAGGGTTAGGGTTAGGGTTAGGGTTAGGGTTAGGGTTAGGGTTAGGGTTAGGGTTAGGGT